GTTTTCTACCTTGTTGTAGAACTCATGCAACACGATTTTCATTGGAAAAATGTTAGATAGCAATATTATACATTAAAATTACTATGTTTCAAAATCTACAGCTGCGATAATAACAAAATTCAGAATCCATATTATTTTGTATTTATTACAAATATTATTTTTGTGTGACTAATCTTACCTATATTTATTGATGCAATATATAATAAAAATAAAAGTAAATTATTCTTAAATAAAAAGTTCAGAAACTTCTAAGAAGTACACAAAAGTTCTGTCACTGTTATTGACATATTTATATTAATGATATGTTATTGACATTTTTTATTGAATAAATTTATTATGTTGAGTTTTATAGGATAGGAAAATTAGGATCGGTTATAAGTAACGCCCATGTCCCTTTTCTAAATTTATCTCGGTTCAAAGTACTTTGCAAACACACATTCTCCATTACTATTCAATTTGGCAATTGCTAGTCAATTAAAATATTTTTATTATTATTGTTATTTAATTATTGCACACATAATAACTTTTGAATATCTATAACAAATGTTACTCACAACTTAGCCCATTAAATGCTGCTTAATATCTTCATTATGCGATACAAAGTACACATTTATTACAAATTGAATATTAGTGAAAAATCTGCTTCTTTTCTGCCAGATTATACTTGTGTTCGTAAGCATGTTTATTTCTTATGTAAACATTCTTATCGCCACACCTGTAGAAAATGCGTAGAAATAGTGAAACTTAACAATATTGTGCAAGCCTGTGAAATAATTATACTTCGATGATATTTTTCATTTTCTCCCCTATATTTAGTATTCGTATAAAATTGATTATTTCCCTGGAATTGCTCGTATCTTATTGCATCAGGCGACACCGTCGTTGACCGTAACTGGATTGTGAAAGTTTACGCAAATACATATTTTTATGAAGTATGTAATTCGTAGAAAACGGCGTCAAGTAGAATCATATTTATCTTACTAAGAATTCTACCAGGTTCCAAACGTAATATGAAAAGTTCATTAGGACTTATTAAATTTTTTTTTATACACTGAGTTTTACACAATCGTGTATATGTGATAAACGCATCCAATCTGCAGTCTAATCATAATAAATTAAAAATAATACCTGATATTTGCTTACCAATAGTCATACAGTTATCCGAAAGTATTCTTCAAACAGAACTTTCAAATATCTTGCTGAATTCATCTTGAAGTGCTTAATAACATGGCAATAATAAAAATATGTAGTTTCTAGTTTCATCTAAAAAAATTATAGTGTCATTAAAATCTCTGTAAATAGCAATTAAAAAAGGAAATTTAAATATTCTATTAAGTTGACTCCATAAAATCAAACAACTATCATATGAAACGTTTTTTCGCATTTTCAATAGTTAGATAAATAATAGAGTTCAATAATGCGCCAAAAATGAAATAAATACCTTGCAGCGGCTAAAGTTAATTGATACAAGTATTTTTACAGTGCACGAAATATGTAATTATATCGGACAAGAGAAATGATTGAATAAGTGAATAATAAAATGTTCGCTTAATTAAAATGTTCTATATATTAAATTTGTATTACAAAAAAATTACTACGGTTACTTATTTCAATTTTCTATTTACTAAAAAACTGAATGTTTTAGAACAATGAATGAAATAACTATACCAGGCAAAGTAAAAACTTGGTTAATATACGTCTTTATAAACGCATATTATAAATGAGAACCAAAAATCTATAGTTCATTTATATTTTCCCAACAAGCATAAATTTTATGACGTAATTGAAACAAAGAAATGCATTCGTTAAGGCAGATTCAGAATTAGTTTGTCGAATTAAATAATTACTTCGCGCCACTGTATGTTGAATATGTAACGAAATAGCCGCATCATGAATGGGCCGATCAAATGTTTAAACATGCTTCACAGTGACATCGTCGACGAAATTTTGCCTCGCAGTCTTCCGACGTAGCTGTCCCGAGGGTTGGTGAGTGCATTGAATATTGAAGACGTTTGAGACCAACCAGGCCTTTTCATTGCGCCAACGTCCCTCTAAAACGTTTATGCTCTCTACTCGATTATCTGACCTCCTTTTGCTATCTTTTATACACGTCTGTGGGGTTGAAATTCATCTATTCGTAAATTCGACCATCTGGACCTTCCTTATCGGGTGTAAAACTCATCACATTTGGAGGTTTTATCAGTTTGCTTACGGAAGATCTTCAGAATATTGTCGTTTTATAGAATCAACATAAAAAATGAATGTTAGAAAATACTGTGACTCGCACGTTTGTTCACTTAATATAGAAATAACAATTAAGTATCAAACACTTTAACACGTTCATTGCCACAGTGAAAAAGGCTGTATGTAGCCAGACACACAATATTCATTTTTATGTCATAAATCGTCGAAAATATGTGCGTTCAGTTAATAGAGAATGTTGGCCTTGTTTTAAATTATACTATGATATTAATTTTACGCAAAAATTCAGCGTCTTTGCAACGTACGTGTCACCCATATTTGGGTGACGTAACGGTCAAAGTTATAATGCAATCGCTGTTTCTTTATTAAAAAAATATAGAAAAAAATATGGAATTTTATGGATACATTTTTCCAAACTGGACACAAATTTCTTTACTTTGTTAAGGGTTTCGAGTAGGTTCGAAATAAAAAAACCAAAATAAACGTTTTAAAACTTTTTCATAGACTGAATTTTAGACAGACAGATATTCTGTGAATGCATACATACTTTACATTTACATTAAATCACACAATAAATATCTACATTTGAATAAATATCCGCAATCTAATGATAATTTAGTAATGTTTCGTTTTTATTTTGGTTATTGGAACTTGTCTCCTTATTTGCTGCACCATCGAACGGAGAGGAGTGTCCCATGATCGATTGTGCGGTTCCTTCGAATGGGGGATATAAAACGTCATTCACGGCCGTCTATTCCAAAGGATGACGACCATATGTACAACAATGGTTCTGTTGGTCGATAACAATGATTGGTCGGACCACGTTGACCCCCTTAGGCACGCTCACGTGCCCGAGCCTCGCCCCAATGTTATAAATCGGTGTTCTTCCCGACGAAAATACCTTGGCCAGTTTCGTGACTGTCGCGTGACGTAATTGCCGCTGTTATCGTAATTAAATTTGTAAATGCGAATGCGTACGAATTAACCGACGACTGACTTCGAACCAGAATATAGTGAAAATTGATACCTAAGTAAACTAAAAATCAACATACAAATTTAATATTTTCAGTATGGAGGTTTAAATTTGACAAATTTCAATGATCTGGTATGTATCAAGAATTTTGGCCGATTATATATTTTTTTGATAGATTATTCGTGAATTTTTAATTATATCTTTGTGGAGTTGATATGCAACATTCAGTGAAATCATAAAGGTGCTTCAATTGGTATTTATGTCGACCTTTCATTTATTATTGGGAAAGTCGGAGGCGTGGCTTACATAGATACCACAGAGTTGGGCAAAATATAATCTAATTACAAAATTGAAATCATAATTACAATGTAATTACGATGTAATTGCAAAACAATTACAATTACATTGTAATTAACTCTATTGAATTTACAATAAAAATTATAATGTAATTGTAAATTTACAACGTAATTGTAATTGTCACGCAATTACATTGCAATTACATTCTAATTGAAATTTAGATTTTGTAATTAGATTACATTTTGCCCAACTCTAAGACACCACCAAGAAAACTGTGGTTACACACTCAATACCCTTTCATTTAACGTTACATAAAATCGTATGTTTGGGAACATTTGCATTTCCCTTCCCTGGGAACATGTTTTCTATTTCCAGGCCTGTGTTATTAAGTATACTTGTCATAACATGGTGATAAAATAAATCGACGACTTATGCGATATTTATCGCTGCAATGTTCGTGAACGTTCATTATGCGTCGGGATGGGTATGGATATAGCGCGGATCATTTGTTTAACGTGGCATGGACACGGGGGGGGGGGTTGCGATTTTAGGCAAGGGCGAGCAACGCTTGAATATTTTACTAACAATAAGGCGTGAAGAAGCGTCTCGAGTGGCAGGCAAAGTGGCTCATCTCATTGTTCGATGAAAGGTTGGACGATAAGAGATTGCCGCTCGGTTCGTGATCGCTGGTCGATTATTTTATAGGCGAGAAAGTGTTGGCGGGGTCCTTGCAGCGTTCACGAAACTGGCGATTACATGAACATAATATTTTATTAGATCGTTGCCTATGAAATATTAGCCCTTTTTAGTGGTATGTTATATTTTATTCAGTTTCAAAAAATTTTATTAGACTGTCATTATTTACGTTTTATAACGAAATACACGTATGTTCGTACAATTATTGTCGAAAGCCTAAGTTCTTTGGGAGGAAATTTGAAAATTTGAAACTATTAGGAAACATTATTATTTGTAGTCTTTTGACTCAATGCTTTTTTTTTTAAATAAAGTGCATCAGAACCGTAAATAATGTTCTATGGTGGATATCTTGAATTCTAACTTAAAAATTTCAATTATAAATTCAGAGGGAGATTGTAGTTAAATTTCATTTTAATCAATCCTCTTTTTTAATTTATTTTTAATATTTTCCAAGTAGTTGACACTGGTTAAACCAATAATGACTCTTAAAAAATGCAAATCAAGTTCTAACTTGAGATGTAAATAGTGACTTAGTACAGGAGTAGGTACATTATAGAGTACGAATTGTTTTCTTTTTAAATAAAATTCAATTCCTGTCTGACATACTTTCGTAAGGTCAGAACTTTTGCAGCAACCTAATATGTAACACGTTCTTTGCTGGATCATTTTTGTTTAATGAAATTTTATTTTATCATAACGTTTAAATGAATTTTCTTGATTGAAATAACTAACAACAGATTCTGTACACTTTTTGTAATGAATCTTACACCTATAAATATAGGATAAAAATGAATGTTATAATTAATAATTTTGTTGTTTCCGATTGTTTCAGGCCAAACAGCGTGCCTCCGTGAAATGGCTCCTGTCGAAGGCGTACAACAATCGAGTGCCAGAAAACCTTCGCGAGCCATATTATGTTGATCACGAGGTACGTAAACTGGCTCCTTTATGACACAAGTTAACACGGTTGACTCTAATTAAGACACGGAGGCAACCCACGGGTTTACATTATCCAACTTATTAACTGATTACGTGGTACTCTCAAAGGAGATTTCAGCTCATAAAGCGATACTAATGTAATTTCATTCGTTTAACATGCATATTTTGTAGAGTGTACCGGTAGAAAAGTAAGTTTACTATGTTCATACATTACTGTGTACGAGAAAAAAGTATAATTATAAATAATAAAAAGAATATCAAATTTAAACGTTTCTGTGCGTTAATACGGTATTCCGCTCAATATCACATTTATGGAGTGTATGTATTGAAAGTCATCCAATGGAATTCTAATTTCCTTAAGTGCGCCCACTTTTAATAAAGGAAAGATACGTATCATTCTCCCGCGCAAGAATGTCGAGAGGAACTCTGTGGTTAAAAGGGCGGCTTCCCCGACTTTTTAAAGTGTCCTGGAAACTCTTTTGTGGCACACGTCGTTATTCCACGACGTCGAAAACCGGCTTCGTCGTGAAAGGCAGACGAAGTTGCTCAGGCGTTTGCTCGGAAGATGCTAATAAACTTCTGCGAAAAGAATTCTTGGTCGAACTCCGATAATGAGCGCGGAAATCTTCGGAAATTTTGGAGGTAATAGCGGTGCTGGATGCGAAAAGGACTTACATAGACAGAAACGTGCTAATATTTACGTTTCATTTCAGGAATTTACATTATAAGTGTACACCAGTCATAAAATACAGGCAATTTACATTGTACATACACGACTCATAAAATACCAGATGTGTTTTTTTTATTTTTAAAAGACAAGAAATTTAATGACCAGACCGCGAAAATTTATGCAAATGTATATTTTATAGAAATGGATTAAACAAATGGAACTTTGACAGAAATATGTTTCATTATTAAATTGCATATTTTGCATTAGTAATGACATTCGTGAAGTTTTCGCAAAATATTATAAAGGTTTCATTTTTACCTACTGGGGGATAAAAATGTAATGAAAGGCACTGAAAGTGGTCGATAAAAGTTGTTAAATGTCCATAAGAATTCCATAATACAATAGTTAAAGGGAGTTAGTCAACTAACCTCATTAATAGACTGCAGATTTTATGCATTTATAGCCTATAGGGTACTGTAAAATGCAATAAAGAACAAAACATTTCTTAGATCCAATAAGTTTTTTGGTTTATTCGGAACCGAATATGATACTTGTCTACATGTACTCGTCTACACTTATTAACACTAGAACTACCGACGATAAATGCATATTTGCTTCGATCGGTGGATAAACGTGCAAAAGTGTTGAAAACGTAGAAATTGACTAATTTCTTCACTTTCATATCGTAATAAAAGGTGCAAAAGATCTGAGAAAATGTATTGTCATAATATTTTAATCGTCGTTGTAAGAGTGTATTGACAAGTCATTTTGAATTGCTTGGTAGTTCTAGTGTTAATAAACTAGCCCCGGTTTCCCCTACCCTTTTTGGGGTTTGTTGTGGGTTTACCTTTTTAAATTGTTTCATTCATTATTCGAAATTCTTTGTCAAGATGAATGTATTTACCCATCTCTGTTACCAAGCATAAGAATAAAGAAACCCCGTGTCGACTAATTATGCCATCGAAACCGCGCCGTTCCTTCCGTATGCAACGCACACACACGCGCGGTGGGCCTCGGTTGTCGTGGTTGATCCAGTTAAACCAATCAAATTACCCGGCCGATCGTTCGTCGTTCGATCTATTTTCACCTCGACAGTAAATCATGGAACTGCCTTAACAAACGTTCCCGTTGTATTCGCTTCGGTGTTCCGACATCTCGAGATGTATTTGATCGTGGACCATTTCTTCCTTTTATCGTGCATGCCGCGAAACGAATTGGGAAGCTGTCGATTTTGTGCCCCGAGTGGTTCGAGGTTCACGGCTGAGAAGAAATCGTTCGAGGTGCATCGGTGTCGTGAGGTGAGACACTCGAACTTTGGAGAGTAATGGTGCAATTGAAGGGTAATAAGGGGAGAAAACAAGGAATGCTGCGGAATAACTTTATCGAGAACATCAGTTGTTAACCCTTCGTGGAGAATGTGGGTGGTTGACGATCCAAGCGAAATTCCATTGTTCCCAGACCAGAGATGGGCAAACTAATTATCTAGATAAAAAGTTTCGAGTAACGAATAAAAAATAAAAAAAAGTATTTCGTCATTTTTAATTGTTTAAACGTGGAAATTTCAATTTTTATAATAAAATAATACTACTTTATGAATGAATCGACATTTGTCGAACAATTATTTAATATCATTAACTGTTTAAAGCTCAGAACGACACCCTTAAAGATACTCCTGCTTTTCACTGTGAACACATTCGAATAAAATTCGGAAGGACATCTGAGACAGACGTTCCTCCGAATTTTGATTTTTATTGAAAAATGTTTTCAATGTTTGACTATGATTTTTTGTAATGTTCACGTTAGTTTTACCTTTACATAGAACAGAAATATTTGAGATCCTATTACACGACTATTATTCTATAATTCATCTTCTGTGATTATAAAGAGAACAGTAGCATTTCAACAGTGATTGAAGAACAACGCTGTATAGCCAAAGCAGCGTAAACATTGTTAATTTTCCTTTTCCTTTCATGTTTTAACTATATAGAAATAGCAAACAAATAATCTTCAAAAATGCAGCAAAGTCTATGAGTCTGCAATGACACATGAAAAAGATGGAATGTTAAACAGTATATTTTCTTTCAATAAATCCAATTAAATTTTATTCAGTGTGTGGAACATGTCGTTGCCTTGACAACCATAGAATTCAACCAGAATAGATTTCAGTACTTACAATTATTGCTTGATTAGCCAGCAACAATCCACCTCTCATTAATCATCCTTTCTCTCGTGTAAGACACGATCTTTTTCATGGAGCAGGTATCCCCAAGCCCCAAGGGAATTATTCGTTCATTGTATCCTTTTCACACTTGAACTTTCGTTCGAATAATCAGTCTCACAGTCTTGACTTTCCCCTTAAAGTCAGAAGTGCAACCTGACGATGATTACGACTCTGTTGGAAACAATGAAGGAGGGCTTGGCTCATCTCCAGCGAGTCGTTATCACGTTGCAACTTTCTTCGGCTGCATGAACGAGACCCAAGCGTCTGATAATTGATCATTTCGATTGTTCTTTTGCTCCATGATTAGTTCCTCTTCTCCTTTTTCTATGATACCACTTTGATCTCTCAGTCGTCGTTTATTTAATAGGGGATTATGTCTAATCTTCGGGGCTTATTACCGATATTACTATCAGGTTGTATAATAATGTGAATGTGTTAATGCTAGGCCGATGCTTTAATTGGAACATACGTGAAACTCCTTCGATTGTTTTCGTAACAGAATGAAGATGAGACTTTATGGAATTAAAACAAACTGCACTGAATAACGTTTTGTTTCAAATGTGATAATTGCAGAAAACTGTGTAAGTAATATTATAAAATATGAAAACATTTTTAACATTCTGAGTAAAAGAAGTAACAGCTTTAGTTGCCTGAATCTTGCTTTAATACATAAAGATGATTGGACGCTTTCTGTAATTATTCCTTAACTTTCCAATTCTGAATTTTTTTACGAAAATGAAAATACTTATTTATATTTCAGTATTTCACTTAAATGAAGGTAACTGCTTCCATAAATTTGTCTCGTTATTAATAACAGCATTTTTCATATCCAACACGTGAACACTATTAACCTTCAGAAGGCGGATACAATACTCAAGTTAGTACTTGTCAATAGTCAAGTCAATACACAAGTCAATACTCAAGTTAATGCTTACTAATACTCGAGCCAGTACTCATGTTATTACTTGTTAATACTTAAGTCAATACTCCAGTTGATACTTGTTAATGCTCGAGTCAATACTCACATCAATACTTGTTAATACTTAAGTCAATACTCAACAACAGGTTAGTTCATTCGATCAAACACTTTCTGTCAGGGGTAGAGCACTTCTTTCACCGACCGTACATGTTTCAGCCAACACGGTTCAGTGGGTTCCTATTTATCGAGTCGCGAGTGTCAGCTGCTCGCGAAACCGAAATTGTTTTTCCGAGTTTTCTGCGGTCAACTGTCAACCGCAACATCATTCCGATAGTCAGGAGTTCTCTTTACCTTTCACCTGTCGGAATCGTTTTATTTGAATAAAATTCCCTGTGTAAATTGATCCATAACCGTGTTCTCCACTGCCTGACAAAGTTTACGATGACCTCGTACAACTCTTTCGGAGCGTTCATTAAAAAACTTGTTCCTTCTTATTTACCTTTTCATTCACAAGGGAGAATGTTCTTATTCATAAGTTTATGAATCGACTTCCTGACTTTTCAACAACTTCTTTCTTTTTTTTTTTTTACCGTGACGTTATTGTACGAAGAAATATTTATTGTATTATATAATAATTAATAGTTATTATATTCTCGATATTGTAATAGTATTTATATTAATCAAATAATTTACTATATATTTTTATTATTTAATTGTTATCGTACAATTTATCTGCTGCATATGGACAATAAACTTGTTGCATATAATGATATACTTGTACAGTGTTGTCGAAACAGAATAAACCAAAAATTCAGTCATTTACAAAATAACTCAAAAAGAAAAAAGACAATTCTAGGTATTCATTTAAATCAAGAGATCGAAACGAAACATTCGATTCAAAGCTTTGTTTTCAAAGAACCCCTGGTCAAATGTTTTGGATCACTTGTTGCTTTTCAATAAAACCATATTTTACCATTTTTTTTTCTTGCTTTAAAAATAATATATTTAGAAATAGTTACGAGAACCGTTAAACTACAAATAACTGTTAAGATTTATAAATGAGTGTAGTAATATAGTTGTTACTTCAATTAAATTTATTAACGAGCAAATATCTGTTATGTTCAACTTACAATTTATAGGAAAAACGACCACAGTACCTTTGTTTCGATTCGATTGAGAGTTTCACGATCGCTAACAAAATTTCTGACAATTTCCCTTTAATATTGGTTCACACAGTAATTCGTTCACATAGCGTTCGCGCATATATTCTTATGAATGAACACAGAACGCGTTATTGTTACGAAGATACTGAATGAAGTTAAATTATACATTATGTAAGAATGATCTAACGCAAGATTACGTAATTAGCGATAATTAGCGGTAGCGTTAGGCGTGTATAATACTTTCTACATAGTTATTTAAGATGAAACAGTTTCCTCGTTCGTTTTCAGCGGATTTTCAGCTGTGCTTGGTTTTCAAGCCACTACTATCCTTTTTTATGGAAAAACAGCAGAATTTAATTGGCCGTTTCGTATGCAACGGGCATCCCATTTAAATGACTGTATAGGAAGGTTAATGTGCCATAACACCTAATCGCGGCAATTATTTTTTCCGTTACTTGCATCCCTACGAACGTAAACCGTCTTTGAAGAATATTTAAACATAAACTTTTACCGTGGAATTATAGTCTATAATCGCCAAGATAAAAAACGGAATCGGATCAGGGCACCTAATCAGAGTATACTAGTATTTCAGAGAATGAAGAAAAATAAGATCTTTTTACTCGAAATGAAGATGTAATTTTTTTTACATGATTTATCTGGACATTTGATTTCGGTAGAAATCAGCTAGTGATTCTAAACTTTTGGCCGGTAGTATATATTCCTGTATAGCTGAAAAAAGATTGATCAGTCTAAATTAAGAAATGTAACAGATTTTGCAACTAACAAGATTCTGTGTTATCATGATTGCAGAAGTACAGAGAATTTCTTTTTTTTTGTTATAAACTTGACTGACCCTAATAGCAGGCTGAATGACCAACAGAACGTTAACTTCGTCCTAATTTCTTTCTTCGTGTGAGACGAGGTAGGGATCCAACCCGTAAAGGTAGAAACTAGTTCCCGTATCGCCGTAGATCCGTTTCAACTTGGCGATTTAAGTAAAAGCATCCTGACATGCGAGATCTAGTTTCCTTGGATCTGGGTAAAATCGTGGCTTGTGTAGGCTGTCTCAGTCGTGTGCAAGAAATTGGTGGGCGTAGTGAGCTGTCTACCTTTGAATGATCGATTGATCGAGGTTCGTGTTTCTTAAATTCCCGATCCGTTTCTTCCAACACAGGCCCATCTATCCATTGGATTGGTTACATCGAATTTCTAAGTGGATGTTAATCTTGACGATGTGAATGATCTACTAATTACAGTAACACCAATTTAACTGTTATTAGATGCATGGAAAAGTAACGGCAACTTTACTATCGAAAATTTGGATTACTATTGAACGATTGCTAGAGCTTTACTGAACAAACAGTTCAGCTTACATTCTATAAATTCTAGCAATTTTTCTGGTAAAAATTCAATTCTCTGTCCGTAAAATAAAATAGAACCGTGGTTGGTGGCAATTTAAGCACAGCGTTCGTTGCAGTGAATCGTCGATTAATGCTCAGAGCCTGGGACTGCTCTAGAACACTTATCGTAGAGGGACTATTAGCAGCTCACCTTTGCCAGTCGATAAAGATCAAAAGCCTGCGTATCGTTTAGGCAATATTAATGCAGTGATGAAAAATTTGTTTTCACTTTGATTCCTTGTTAATGAACATTTTAGGGAAGTCGTGGCGTATTATATTACTTGATTGACTGGTTCCAAGGGGGAAACTACTACCTGTAGTAGTAAGGATGACGTAGAAGCAGTACACACCAAACGAGCACTGAGTGAAAATGCTCGCTCGCTCCTGTTCGCTCGTGCTCGATCGCTTGGTGAGTACGTGACTTTACGTCGCGATCATCGAACAACAGGCCACGATCACTGTCCCCGTGTGTATTTCCGTTACCACGCTGTACACCGTCTCGAGTTCTTCGTGTTTCCGCGCGCTACGCCGGAAATTACGGAATACTAATATTTGCTCGGTCGCGTCTGCCGGATATTCTTATGCGGTCGCGACCCTTCCGCGCGTAGGGTATTGTGTTTCAAACTACGGCCACGGACACAGATCTGTTTCGATGAAATCTGATTTCCCTACGGCGGGAGATTTTCTGTCCTATCTGGGGACACCTGGTCCACTTCCGGGAATGTTTTCCTTTCATTCGATAACACACAAAATAAAGTGGAGACTGCTATGTAGTGTTCTTGCAGACACAGATTCTTGTAGACTGTTTAATGTGAAATTTTTCATAATTATCGAACTACGAAACAATGAATCCAAATCGACACCTCCGAAACTTTACGAAATTGTAGTATAATTCTTACTTTACAGTGGTTTCCACACTGAAAATTTTTCACACATAAAATCACATATTGAATGTAGTTTAGTAGTGTATGAGTGTACATAATACTCCTTCTAAAATTTCGAATTTTAAATCTTCTATTTTTAAGTGTCCTTCAATCATGGATGTATCGAACGGTTACGCTTGATGAACCTTTTCATACATAGATGACGTGCAATGTATCCGTGTATCTACCACTAATTTGACGTGGAAACTAATTATTTTTGTTTATAAATCTTTTAGTTAAAAATAAAAAAACAAAAATATTCAGATATGTTAACGTTGTACTGCCAGTAATATTTGAGCCCTTCAGTCCTCAAAGTGATTAACTCCGCAAAATGTACATTGAGAATTTATTTTAAATATAAAAAGTTAAGCACCAATCAAGTGCTTTGACACTATAATTTGCGGAAATTCAAAAAATGGAATTCGTCATTTCGACTTGTGAAGAACTCATTTATTACTCTGTGTCTTAGATAAAAAGGTTGTATGTGATCTTGAAAGATGATTAAAAAAAATCAACCTTTATGGATTTGTTGTGGATAGTTTCAGTTTTCGCTGACGATAAAGATTACAGGGCTACCCTGAAGTTGACCTAGTAACACTGTGTTTAATCTTACATTTTCATTAGTAAAACAATGACGATTTCATAAAAATGCAATAAAAAATTAGGAGATTCGCGTATTGTTTTTTTAAGAATCTGTATTTTTCTGTGCAGGATCAAGAACACCTAAAGCCGCAGATCGTCCACGCACTCTCCAATGCAGAACTATACTGTTTGGCGTTGGCAAACATCTATTCGGATCCAAATTATCACAATCAGAACCACTGCGGTATCCTGCAAGCCCTCGCCAGGAAAGGTGTTTACCTCGCGGAGCCAAACAATACTCAACTCACCGAAACGATCCTAATTCAGAATTCACCACTCAAGATGGTAAGAAAAATATCACATTTCCTCCATTTATGACAACAGAACGTAACATTTCATAGACCGATGACTGCAGTAAAATACAGTATTCCCTCCCCATTGTCACATTGTTTTATTAACACTTTAACGATGTTTTTGCGAGTATACTCGTCATGTGAAAAAAAAACATCTTGCTACGAAAATAATTAAAATTTTAGTAAAAATTTACAGGTATACATATTTCATTTTTTTTTACGAGTTTTAAAAAATCATTTTATTTGCCTATGCGACCTTTTTCCATCAATAGTCCAAATCAGCGTTTATATAATATAATTAAATAAAATAAATTTTAAATGTTTTATTCTTTAATTATAAACATTCCATTTAGGATGTATTAATTTTTAATCATGAAATGCTTTTATGGTGGTACATATATTTTTTTATTTTTATTTATGTGACAAAAAATTTAAAAAGTTTGAGAACTCTTGGTCTAAATTATAATGTGTGTATTAATGTCGTTGTCCTTCCACATAGTTTTTGTGGTGTTCAAGATGAATGAAACGTTCTCTGTATAACTTCACAAATCGGTGCTCAGACATATCCCAGTCAAAGGCAGGGTTTGCTACGTAGGTAACTTTACTAATGATACCACTAACAAGCCCTAGCTGAAACTCTTCAGGACGAAAACTTTTCTCCACAAGCTTCTTCACATTTTCATTACAGCTCCCAGACAGCACTAGTGCGCCATATTTACGACCACAGTGACCGCGATACACGATCCTCTAGGCGTTTTAACCCGTTAACCCTCGGACGACGATGACTAGGTCGTTTCGACACGAGTTTCCCGAACTTCGTCCAAACTCAATAGTTTCCAATAACTAACATAAATCTATAGTTGTTTATATCAATTTAAATAAAATGGAAGCCAATTCACAAAGAAATCTGTTCAGAAATGCATTTAGAAGGAATGATACATGAGGGTCCAAATGGACCCACGTTTCTCTGTTTGCTTTACCACCCAAACGTCCGTCTTGCGAGGGTTAACCGACAAAAACGAGTTAACTAAAAAAAAGAGTCTTTCTTCTACCGTAAATACTTTGAAACTTCTTTTCCTAAGGAAAAATGATCAGACTACGCCCTCCTTTTTCTTAAAATAGATTAGATAAATGTCTGGATTACAAAAATAAAGTTGACTTTCATAAAATTTATGAATAGATTTTTCAAGAACAAAACTTTCGCGAGGTATCGACACTTTGGCAAGGTATCAAACGGGTTCCGATTCGGTGCCGTATTTGTTTGGTATCAGTTCAAGAAGAGTCGGTATCGATACTTGATACCAATACCCAAATGATACTTCTCACTGAGCACTTTGGGTACTGAATCGATTGAATATCGTTAATGGTATTCGTATCGATTCTGTCACTAAATCACAGGTGATTCAACCGTATCGTTCATGTTACAGTCCGCGCATATGGCTGTGATAGAGGGCCTGATGGTCCTGTACGCGAAAGAGGTCGTGACCGGCGATCGTGTGGTGTCGGCGATCCGACGGTTTGATCCTCAGGCGGACGTGGACGTTCCGACGGACCATGAGAAAGGCTTGCTTCTCTGGATAAGCCACGCATCGCGCGCGTTGATCACCAAAATCCAAACGGAGGAAGGTGCTGCGGATAAAACGCGACTGCCAGAGCTGCCTGCCGCGAAGGACTTCCAATCGTTGTGCGACGGCGTCGGTTTAGCAGCGGTCGTCGCGTTTTACTGCCCCGGCGAGCTGAACTGGATGGACATCCGGGTGTCGAAGAGACCGTCGGTCGCGGACGCGTTGCAGAATCTGTCGTTGGTTCATGCGTTTTGTAACCGATGTTTACCGTATTCCATTTTTCACATGCAACCCGAGGACGTGACGTACATGAGGGGGTAAGAGTTCAGAATCCATATTTTTATGAATTTTTCGGAAGATGTTTGTGTAGATTAGGGGTGTTGGTAAAAATGTGGGCCACTTTCACAGAGATTTTCTATACCAAAGTAGGGCGAAAATCAAGAATGACGAAACTATTGTAGGCTTTGTTTCCGATTTATTAATCCTGTCCGACCTGAATTGTTTCTTGCACACAGAGAAAATATTTTTTGCATATAGTTATTTCTTGGAAGTCAGAAAAATAGGACAATTGAAAAAAAAATTGTTCATACAGTGAAGATAGTATTAAACAATTTCTAAATATTGTTTTCAAGAATGTATCCATTAAACGCTAAACATTAAACTATATGTACGATATGATTCCATATTGAATCTTCAGGCCCTTAAGGGGTTATGCCTATCTGCGAACTCGAAAAAAGGCATGTACTTTTGGAATTTATTTTTAAAAAACTTGAAGACTTTTTTAAATACACGTCACTGTATTCGAAAGTGTACATTTTAAAGTGCTTATAATAATTTCTTCAATGCAAAATATGAATAAATAGGGGAAATTTCAGCGATCATCCGGCGGCGTTTTGCGGTGACCACTTTGAGTTCGTTTATCTTAAATAAAAAATCCGAACAAATTTAGTTAATATATTAAATTATCTAGTGCCCAATTGTTCATCATCCTGAAAAATTAACTTACGACAAAAAAAGTGGCTGTTCAAAGTGGAAGTATCGATTTTCGCCAAAAAAATCGTTCATTTTTTATCTAAAAATAAAAACTACGCAATGAAATACAAAAAGCCACGATGAGGCACTAGATTTTTAGCTGGGAATCAGCTGTTCGTGTAGTATAATCCGTTATGTGAGACATATTTTACGCGTATTTTGCCCATATTTTCAACAATTAATATCTCGAAAACGAAACTTTAAACGCACTTTCGTTATTATTGATTTTCGTCTTATAGTAGACTGTGGATTTTTATGCAAAATAAAAGTTTCTAAAGTATTTTATAAAGTATTTTGTAAATAATACAAAACTTCATTCATTTTTAAAAATTTCAAGCTTGTACTTTTTTTAATGCATTTTTCTGTCGTAAATGTGTGTTAAACGAGAAATCTTTGGATCTTACTACATGTATGGATTACCACAAGTTTTTCGGTAGGAAATTTTGAATTCAATCACAAGTGATTTTATTGTCTCGATACAGTTGATCGATTGGGTTATATTCACCGAGCTTATCCTTTATTCATCTTTCCATTCTTCGATTTTGAATTAAAAACCTGAACCATTTTTGTACGTTTCATTTAACCGTACCGTTCTCTTCAATTAGGTCTATGAAGCAAAATTTAGTCGTTTTTCTGGCGGACATGTACAACGTGTTGGAGATCCACCCTGCGAAGTGCGTCCGTTATCCCGGCGAGGAGAGGGCGATGCAGTTCTTAGATGGTACGTAAAAGTATTCAGCCCATCGAATGACATTTTCCCCGATTAAATAGCATTTGGAGAGACTTGTTCGACACTATGAACGGGCGCCCCCTTTTGTTACGGAAGGGTTCACGAGTCTTTTGGTATTTGGATTAATGTGATTGGTGAAGGCTGCGTACATTCTGTATTGGACTTACCCGTTCTATAATTTATTTTGTTATACTTTATTTCCATGGAAATCCTGTTTCTGTTGCGAGCAACGGCGTCCCGTTAACCGTAAACCCTATGAATATTCAGGGAAATTTACTTGGATCGTCGCATTAGGTGTGCAATTTATTGGATTCAGGTTATGAAGAAAGAAGAATAAATCAGAACTGCTTTTTTAATGATACTGAATTTACATTTTACACATTTACATTGTACATCTTACATCTATTCTATTTACACAATTTTATCCTTGTGATGTAACACATACATCTTTTGGCGTGGTAAAATGCAAGAAGATTTTGGTTAAATTCATTATAGTAGTAGAAAAATACGAAGGAAATAAAAAGATAAATTTATACATACAGGACGATGTGAACACATACTGTAAGCTATGCTTCCTATGTTCATCTATGCTCATCGATTAGGGTTATCGAATTATTCTGTGATTTTCTGTGTTAAAAAATACATCTATGAGTACTTAAAGAATGTTCCTGTACGATGAAAATGTACATACTTCGATAGTGAATATTATTTTTCATATTTGTAAGAATTTGTAAAAAACGTAGAAATCACGCATTGTGATACGAATTCATTGATTTTCACTACAATATATCAGTATTCCCGCGGATAGCTAGACAAAACACGAAAATTGTAGTATAACGCCTAATAAATTGCACGCCTTCGTATCTCACGAACGATAGAATAACCAAGCAAAAGAAGGGAAGATTGCCCGCAGCAGGAACGGTATCACGCTTTTTATCAGTGTCAATACACACACTCGTTCCCAGTCTCGAAGATCCAGGTCCTCAGCAGCGACTAAACTAAACATGCGTCTGTTAATTGTTTAATTAAGCCGAACCTTTCTAAACAGATCACAGAGACCGTTTTTGAGAATGGAGAACAAATGATAATAATTGGAAAAAAAAAAAGAAAGAGAAAAGAAACACACAGAGAGCGACGATCCTTCCACGTATATATGTCCACTTGTGTAATGTAAAAACTATAATATTTCCGTATATTTCTATGGCGTAACCTTCTTGATGCTTGACAACAACGCTATCCTCGCCTTCTTCTTTCGTCAACTTCCCGGTTGCCAATGAACGAATACGGTCCGGTGACGGGTGCAGCCTGCCCGCGCAATAGTCATGGTGTAGCTCATAAAAGAAGTCTGCCACAGTCTATAGCTCCGATACCTGATCTGAGAAGCAACCTCTCCGTGTCCGCGCCAGGCTTCACAGGTACCCACAACGTTACCAAACAAACAAAATCATTAAAAAAAACCTAGGTGGTCTTCTCTCGTTTTTGTGGATTTCGCGGGAGTTTTTCGCAGACTGACGTGTCGATTGAATAAAGAAAATAAAAAGTAAAATTGTAAATTTTGTTCGAGGAAAAATTGAAAAGAACGTTCAGGTCCTCCGAGCGATCAAGAACCTCGCAAAAGTTTGTCACTCGTTTATCGATGTTGTTTCTGTTTCTTGTTTCTTCTCCGATTTTTCTTTTCCGTTGTCGTTTACTCTTTTCTTCGATTATTACTACATTTTAAATGCAACGCAGTTTCTTGTATTTTGATTGCCGTGTGTACATAGAGGACAGAGACTTTCTTTTTTCACTAGTTCATTAAACAGAAATAGTGGATTACTTTGGTACACCTACTCAAATCCAAAACTTTCAATTACGAATCTTCCACAACAAAAAATAATCAAAGAATGATCTAAAAGAATTTTTTCCAAATGCAAAAGTAAATTTTGTCGGGACACTTTCATAGATTATTAACAGATCTATCTACCAAATGAAATTTGTACGTGATACTGTTAATTTCTTAGATTAATTTGAAACCAAAACAAGCTAAAACAGTGACAGTGAAACATAAAAAAAGAAACGAAGCAAACCTCGAAAGAGAACTCTGTCAGCTTCACCGAAATGCGTTCTGCATTTAAAACGTGGCCCGTTTTCTTTAGATTAGCCGTGCAAGAAACTATTAGGCGCACTGCTTCTTATTAACAATATAATTTGCATAATACTTAATGCCTTGAAATATAACCAGCTACCCCTTAGATAATAGTCTTTATGCATGCTACATCAGCGCAATATCTGCGACAAGTCTTTTAATTTTGGCCGTTCGGTTGCTTGCTGTGTCGTTGGCTTCCGGTTTCATTTTCGTTTTGCATGGTGTCTCTTGTCTTGTATCGTTCAGTGATGCAGGGTGAAGTCTGGACGACTCATTGAATATATATATATGTGTATATATATACATATATCCACTCCATATTGATTTAGTATACTTTGTTTGCGACGTACATTGTCTACGTTCTATGCGTGTGTTTTATGTCTGTCTTTTGCTAATCCTTGTTTAATATGTTATTATGTTCTTTTATGTACATACTATCGACGGTTCACCGAGCTGTGACATGTCACACCGACCAAGTAGAGACGCTAGAAAATCTTAGCTCGTAGGATTGATTGACATTCTTACCCATCGGATGAGTGTACAGTTTTTTTTTTTCGAATGTATGATTACAGAAGCTTCCGTTCCTTAGAGATTTTTAATCCCAGAAATTTGCGTGTCTCGAAATTTCTATCGGTTTCAAATGCATTGGTGTGCGTGGAATAATGTAATAAATCAGGTTAAGTTGAATAATTTATTGTCTACAAAACAGATAAAAAATTATGACAGTAATTGCAAAAAATCCCTTTTGGATCGGTTGTTTCATACAAATGGACAAAAAAATAACGTAACCAGAGATTTTCAAGTACAGTCATTCCTCAATGAATGCGACACGAGCAACCGCGTTACTCCCACCACTGAGAGAGTCTCCTTTTGGAACCAATCAAAACAGAGTAAACAGAAGTTAAGTGGAGGCTCGGCTTCGGGCAAAAAATAAATTGATGAGGGGCTGAAAATCTTTTCACCTTGCCATAAATGCTCTCAAAAGTATGATGAAATTGCAGTTTGGTCGGAAACATTTGGTAACCATTTGTATATAGTAGATTCCTACAGAATCTGGCATAACCCTAATTCTCTAGACGAAAAATACAAATACTTTTTCATTTTACAATAGAATTTCACTGTATTTTAACATATTTATGTAGATAAAGAGAAACAGGTATAGTGCCTTTTATTTACCTGAAATATAGGCTACGATTAAGACCAGAACTTTTGGACTTTAGTATTTAACATCAATTGTAATATCAGTTCCACCTTCATTGCTTTATATTTTCACAGTGTTGCAAATTTCTTCACAAAATAGTATATTAAGATATGATTAAGTGTTTAATTACTCGTGTATTGAAATTACGAATAGAAATTTCGAACCCAAGTTTCGTTCGGTGTGTATCATGCTACGTAATTTTGTCCACACGGATCGTTAATCCTTCTAAACCCACGTTTTCTCACACGTGAGAAGTGATCACTGATTTTAGACGTTGGTGCTATTTTCTAAATGCGCACGTAAACAATCGATTCAGTATTGAATTATTTTCTAGTTGCGAAAGCATCGTCGTCATCCTCTGTGAAGAAGTCGCAATCGTTGCAACAGACTGCCGAAAATTATTCCCACGATAACAGGTACGTTTTTACCTTTAATCGGTTTGTTTTTCTTGAGTTACAAAGACACGATCAGCCTTGAGAACAAGTTACAATCCGATAATACTTGATCCGTTATGACTAGACCGTGGATGTTTATGGAAATATAGAACTTTATAAATTAATTTTACGATATGAACGCAAAAAAAAATGTATTTACCCTGTTAGAAATAGAAAGAAAACCTGAATAAACTTCCTGAAACTTTTTACTATACTGAATTTCATACGATCGAATATTCTACATATAAATGCATAAAATCCGCAGTTTAGTGATTACAATTCTTTGTCACTTTGATTTTATAGCTCTAAGAGCTGAGCTTTTACATTTATAATCATTATGCAATAAATCTATAAAGTGATAAAACCGAAAGAAATAAATCGTCGATCTATATAAAATCTGTGGAAATAATAGTTCACACCATCTTCTATGTTTATTAATGTTTGATCTCTTCAATTTGTAGTGGTAACATATTTGTAGCTTTGGATCGAAGAAATTTATCAAGTGTTTTGGGTTTTGTATCGTATGAAAGGAGAACAAAACCGTGTCAAAATTAATTTGTCGCACCTTTTTGTCCGTATTAATTAGAAATCGCGCAATTCGAAAGTTGTATAAATCGAGGATTAACTGTACACTATTTTATGCAAAAGTAATTTACTATGTTCTTCGACATTCTGATAAGTCGCAAATTTTTCAAACTTTTTTTAACACATCATTTAGTAAACTAATCCTTCTAACTTCACAAAGAAACTCGAGTCACTTGGTCCAATTTTGAAATAGTTGTTCTGTTTTAAAGAGTGTACGAATACATTTTTTACCCCTGTAGAAGCAATACTATGAATCCTCGAGTTTCTTAACCTGTAGAGTAATTTAAAGGACGGGAAGCTTATTTTTAGGCTCCTGAAAAGTCGCATATTATTCCTACATTAAATCCTCGATGAGTGTTGAAAGGCTCCCCTGCACTGAACGTTAAATATTTCATTAACTAGTGGCCATATGTGGCTAAAACAAATATTATTGACTTCAGAATTCCAAGCTCTATCACTGTGCTAAACCTCATTAAAAAGCGTTACACCTGGGGACCTCTGCGCGTTAGTGCCGAGGAGCCTTCGAACACTCATCGAGGATTTACTCTATAGCACTATAACAGTAAACTTTTTAATAACAAATTTTTAAAAGTTGTAACTCGAAAATATAAAAAGTCATGAAAAGACCTGCCCATCCTCTAAAGATTAAAGACTAAGTTCGTCTAGTAGTAGTGGATTACTTATCGGTACACCTAATATAAATCAGCAATTTGATGAACTTCACCTACTCACCCGTATTGTGTTCTATTTTTTTACTTGTATGCCATATCTCTAATTATTTCTTGTTTTACAGACGAGCGGGGAGCGAAGAGAGTTTCGTGGTCCATCGTGGCAAAGGCATTCCTACGTTGAGCTCCGTAGCAGACGAGAAATCGGTAGCTAGAGCAGATGCCGCTGGTCGGCCGAGCAACTGGGAGGACCAGAGGAGAAGTTCTTATGCTGGCCGACGATCCAGGCGTAACAGCGTTTCGGACGACTCTCAGCTGACCATAGAAAACTTCGGGGGTTCCCAGGTGATCTTAAAACTTGATCATCGAATCGTGAAATGTAGAAGAAACACGAATCAGCGAATGGGCTGTCGGATTTACCCTCACCCGTCCCTTGTGTCAATTTGACACATTTTTCTCCTAAGAAATTATGTGATTCTGTCATGTATAAGTAAACTTAGCTGAGGCTCCGCGACTTTTATTTTAAAGAATTTGCAAATTTAACTATTTATTTCTTCATTCTATGACTTTTTTACCACTCTGTCAATTTGACACCTAGGGACAAATTAAGTTGGGAAAATGAGGGACAGATGAGGGTTAACCCTTGGAAGGCGGACGTTTCTGATGATTGAATAGATGGTCATATCTGGGTCCAGATAGACTTTTACACATCTATCCTGGGTTGTGTTTCGGACCGAATTTCTTCAAAATATGTTGACCTTCTTACAAAATGCTAACACAAGTAACTGTACACTTCCGTTACTTTCTGTAATCTGGAGAGGTGCGCGAAGTTCTCCAAATCATGGGTCAAAATGGACCCAAACACCGCCATCCGAAGGTTAAAAATCAAACGAGGGATCTTCCATGCATTACACTATTGTTTTATTCATTAACGAAACGAATACCTTGAAATGTTTCATCGTCAATCCTTTCGTAGCTACTGGCGGTTATAGATACAGTGGTTAGTGCCTGCTTAGTGTTTCGGGACCTTATTGTGAACACTATTGAGGACGATGGAGTTCTAAGATCCGTTCTACGAGAGAAGGTACTTGCATGCCGATCAGTTTTCGTAGGTTTTGCGCAGTGGACGCCTGCTGTCATGAGTTCATTGGCCATGAAGGTCATAGGGATAAGCTGCGTAGAACAAGTACCTTCTCTCATGGTACGGAGCTTAGGTATATAAGCATTTGTTGTTCCCTTTAGGGTTACAATTTACACATATTCCTTATCCTATTCTTAATCCTACGCCTTATCTCCAATCTCTAATCTTAAAACGCTCGCCTATATATACATATATACACACACGCCACCCCGTCCCTATTCTGGACCTCCGCTTCTGCGCGTCTCACCATTCATTCCAATCTTTCTCGTCGTTCTTCTATTCTTCTCATCCATACCTCCCCCTTTCCCTCGTCTCCTAACACTTCTCTCATACATTCTGACCACCCTCTTCCTCCCTTCCCATGCACTCTTACCATAGATGCCCCCATGTCCTCTCTGCCCACCCACATATCCTACACCTCCTCTTTTCCTCCTACGGAACTTAGGTATTACCGAGTGTTTTCTTTCTCTAGCTCGCTCGCCTCTGACAAGGGGAATGCTCGAGATGACTCTCTAGGATGTTGATGTGCTTTTACAGGATAGTAGCACAGGTTGACCCTTATCCAAATTTAAGAGCGTTAGTGCCAACTCCTATTGGTTTTTGAAGTAATCGATATAGGAGTAGACATTTCATCCAATGTATTTTTGCGGCCCACTTGTATGGGGTTACGTTACCCCATTTCCATTTTAGTGTCAGTACCCACCGTAACTGGTCACACATTTCAGTCTAAAAATTCTATTCAGTCATTAACTCTGCAGTAAAGTGCTCTCCATATCGCTTGTCACGGTTAAGATGTTTGTTATGCACGGTTTAAGGTGAAATCTGACGGCAGAAGGGTTACAGTAATTTCGTATAACAAGTGATGATTCGTTCTGTTTGTAGGATAATTTACACAACTTCGGCAGAAATCCGGACAAAGAGGTTGGAGTTCACATAGGGAAACGAAGCACGACTGAGCCGACGTTGCCCGCGAGATCGAGCGTGCAAGATGTGTACGGCAGCGGTGTGCAACATATACTCGCGGACAACGGATACGGCAACGACGAACCTCCCCGATTACGAAGGCAGGCCTCAAACTCGAGCCTGGACAGCGTGGCGCTCAAGCAGATCTTACATTCCAATGATAATGATAATTCGGAAGGGGATACGTCGAAACTGTCGAGCTTCGCGAACTTGAACAGGCAGAGCTCGGAAAAGGGGATCAACTTAACGTACACAGAGGCCGAGGACGCCCTGACGAAGTCGAACCTTACGATTAAGAAACACGGTCAGACGAACGGGAATGGGAACAGCGAAAAGAAAACAACGTTCGCCACGTTACCGAACACGACCACGTGGCAGCAGCAGAGTAACCAGCAGTCCCAACAGGTGGAACAGCATTCTGTTGGTGCGTATGCAGTAGTCAGAGGAGGTAGTTTCATGCCTCGAGCCAAAAAAAAAATCGATTTTCCTTCTCTTCTTCATCGTTTCTTAAAGTTAAAACGGGTTCCAGGAAAATAGTCTTTCATTGAAATCGAATAAATTGACGAAGTTACTAATGTCCTATGGTAGAATAGTCTATAGGGGTTCTAAGTTCGTTGCAACTTCGTTCTTAACGCATTGACCACTACGTTATTCATGTTACACTTCTTAGAAAACAAATGTGAAAGTAGCTTTTAAGATAGAATATGAAATAAATAAATTTTTGTGTAAAATATGGAATAATGATATTACATATTATTCAAGTAAACGGTGTAAGAAGAATTATACAATACACATAAATATTTCAATAATGACGTGCATTTTTCTCAGTAAAAAAGTTTTAAGTATTACCCATTTTTTTGGCCCGAGATATGGAACTATCCCCGTAAATTGCTGTTGTTTACGAGAACTGTCTGAAACTGACGAGCCGAATGAAATTCATACGAGCAGATGAAAACGGTGGTAACACGATTATGGCCTCGCAACTGAATAATATTAGATTGAAACTGGAAGAGAAACGTCGTCACATAGAGAACGAGAAGAGGAGAATGGAGGTCGTAATGTCGAAACAACGTCAGAAAGTGGGGAAAGCTGCGTTCTTGCAAGCTGTCACGAAGGTAAAACATGTGATTCCGTTAAAGTTCACGATATTGGAATTCGTATTTTCCCATTTCGAACTTCATACGTGACTTTCAGCCAGATCACTTTCATGGCCACTTTAATGATTTGTTTCCTTTTCATTGTGAGATACGACGTCGATAAAGCATAGAACGCATATCTTTTTTTAATGTACGATGTAATCATTTCATTATTCTTGGATCGTAGTAAATAAAAGTACAACGAATTTGTTAAGATGAAACAGAACATTGAGTACAGCCATGAGACAGTTGAAATGTAGCCACGGGTGTTTAGTATTAGAGCAATGCATAATTGTGTTGTACGTCGGACACTAAACAGTTTCTTTTTTTTCTGCAATACAATTCTGGTAGATTCACAAAATAGCACAGTGTCTGTCCTGTATTGGCGTACGTGTTTTCTTTAATTTCAAATCTGGCTGTATTACAAACATTTGATTATTTTAAAGTAGAATGCAACCGAGCTTGCAGTAATCATTTTTTTATTCCAGGTTAAAGCAGCATTCCATTTTCCAATATTTATATATTTTTGTAACATCTGTGTATCATTAGTTTGCCAAAGTAATGAATTTTTGTGCAATTGCAAATACCGCATAATATTGGCGCCTACCATGGCTAACGCAGATAATTTTGATTGCCAGCTATATTATTGTAATACGTTTTTCTTTCTCACCTTTCAGCTGTACTTGGTGGTAAGTGCATGCTGAAATAATAATGTTTCATAATTATCAAATTACAGAGTTATGTAGACACTACAGTTTGTACAATGAAATAGACTATTAACTTCTTGTATGCTATTTCCATTTGTGTGCTTTATACGTTTTTTTTATACATGTATAAAGTTTCTTAGAGTGTAATTTTATGCAGGATGTATCAACATATGTGGGTATGACTTCAGGAGTAAATTCAACACTGAAATAATTTTAAAAATCCATACGAACGCGTGTCCTACTTGACCTTATTTGAACAATTTTTATTCAAATTATTTTGTAAATTTTGTTGAAAACGAGTTAGCTTAACGTTTTCATAGAACTCTGTTCTCGAAACAAGTGTTGAAAAATGATCAAATAAGACACAGGTTTGCAATTAAACCTTGAAGTTATACCCATATGGATTCACACACTCTGTATATTTAAAAAAAAGTGTAACATAAGTAATCTGGTGATGGTATGCATGCCTAATATTATTCACCACCAATTTTCAGCAGAGAAAGTTACATTCAGTTTTACTTCTACACATTACTCATGGAACAGTATTTGGTAACAATTCCCTTAAACTTAAAATTAAAATCAAGAGAACCATAATTAACGTAGTAATTCACAATAAGAAGTTATCCACGTGAAAGAATATAGAAAGTAACAAGAAAGTACCGTAGCCTTTTTGCAAAATGTTCGAATCATCAAATAGAAAGATCAAATAGACGTTTTCACTTTAGTCGAGAACATTATGCAGTAGCGAATAAAGTCAATGGCAATGAAGTATTTGCAAGTTGAATTGGCTTTGGTATTTAGTGCTTGAATGTAACGTTTAACTTGGCTGTGGAGACACTTCGACCATGGTGTGGTGGTTGGTGACACATATTGGACTCAGCATATGCGGATTCCAAGTACTTAACAAGGCACGGTGCTTGGGCTGGTTGCAGGGTAAGGTTAAATCTCCCTCTTCATCAACGTCTGGGGGGGACAGTCCGGCTGAAATCGGTCCCCCCACTCCTGTAACCTCCGGATCTTCGGGGGAGACCCCAACAAGTGTTTCCGAGACGACCCCCGTAACCCAACAACCCTTTCAAGAAAAACCACAGAGACCCTTCTCGCTCAAGGTACGATATCACATAACAGCGTTCCCGTAGATGAACACTTAAAGAAAAATACTTGCTGACGCTGATCTCTATAGCGATTTACATACATGCTTATGTATGGCTTTCAAACATTTATTACTTTTTTTTTGTATACCCCTGCTGTTCATAGCGTGGTCGAAGAACACAGTGAAAGGTTTTGAATACTTACTTTTGATTTTTAATATAAGAGATACTTCAAGAGCAATAATATAATATGCTATAATATGCTGCAAGTAAGATAGAATATGTGCTTTACATAATTCTGTTTTTTTTTTCCTTAGTGGACAATCTTAATTGAGTTTCCTAACAAAGAATGACCATTTCGCTTCTTGTTGCTTATACTTAGATTTAGAGGAAAATGAAACAGTCCCAGTGCATTCTGTGGTCTATACAAATTTTGTCAACTCTGCTCCCATGTTAATACAAGTTTGTAAAAAAATGTCGTCCTCGGAATGCATGGTATAGTACTAAACACTCCCTGGACAGAAGTAAAAATGTATTCTAAATTTTATGTCGACCTGCTGTTTGTGGTGGTGGTTTTTTACACTTGTGTACTAAACATGTTCTGACATACTTAACTATACATGTTCTATCTACATGATTGTTAACCCTTAATTAACTACCTTATTAACTACCCGAGTAGTTATAACCATTTATCTGTGTTCATTGGAATCTTTTCTGTAACTGCACCTGCAGTCATTAAAAAATGTAAACTTAATATTTAAATATATAATGATTGTACATATTTATAAATATAAAATGTAGATTGTCTACAAACTTCGGGTTATTGTATCATTGATAATAGACTCCAAAATCAGATAATCAACTGGCATATATTATTCTACCACTTTTCACATGCATTAACTTTCGTTCTTTTTTTTGGTACTAACGCGTAATTGTATATCTACAGGTAAAATATTCACAGATGTAATCGCATAACGGAAAATATTCTTTAAAGATTTAATGTATCCATTAATTTAATAACACATTAATTAATACAAAACGTTCAACAACAAATGTAGGCTATTAGTAGATATAGTGAATGTAATTTAAACAATGCAGTATATACATTACATAATTAAACTGATCTGTAGATGTACAATACCAATAGAGTTAATGAAAATTCTATCTAAGTTTGTAAATAACTTTTCCATACTTGTACTGATGACTATAGGAGATTAGTGAGGATGTTCGGGACGTAGAACATAAATGGTTGGAACATGATGGTAGTGCACCGTTTATTGAAACAAGACGTACTCCTGATATTGAGAATATGGATCTCGATCAGTATCATCAGTCTATATCACAGTCAGTATTTCTACGTCAGAAAACAGTATTTAGTTTCTCTGACTGTTTTCACGAAGGGTAAACTATATATTTTCGCAGAATGAATAGCAGTCTTAGCGAAATACAAGCAGACATACAACGCTTGGCCAATCAGCAAAATCAGATACAACAGCAACATTTAATGACGCACCATCAACAACAGATGCAACACCAATTGCAACAGTTACAGAGTTTAAGTCAGCAGCATTTGCAAGTAAGCATATTCTTTCATAGTAAAGAATTCTGTAGTTATTTCATAACTTAGACTTATATATATCCTTCTTTATATTGTTTAGAGTTTTGGAATGACTCCTGTGAATACCTTAAGCTCCAAATTACAAGAGTCTCAACAATCACAGTTCTATTTACATGATCAACCACAGTTGCAAAGACGAATGTGGGGTCAACCGCCTTCCACGCAAAGTTTAGCAAATGAAATGGCTGCAGTAGGTTACCAACAATCAATAGATCCACGATATGGTTCTCAAACAACAGGTATGCATATGTACTACAATCAGAATTTAATCAAGTGAACAAGTGTGTTTTATTTTTAACATATTTAACTTGCATTATTCCATAGTCTACCAGCAAGATATGCGCTTATATCAAGACACACGGAATTGGGGAACACCACCTCAACAGAAAGGATTTGTTTTGCATGATACTCCCCCAGAACCAAGGTACCTCAATGGCGGGGATCATAGTCTTTGTAACAATCAAATGAGTCACCCTGGTTCTACATATCCAGCGTCTTCATCTATCTTTAATCAAACACCACCATCTTCTGCTAGTCCTCAACATCGTAATGCTGTGAGTATAATGATTTTTCTTATACGCAAGTCGTACTATGTCTTCGGTCTCCTCACAGATTAAATATCCGTCGAAAGATAAATATTATTGTTGTGACCACTTCCTAAAATTCCTTAGGGAGTAATATATTGGACAGCACAGGTTTTTTTTACAGTAATTTTGTATAGTAGTTTCAATATTAACATCTAATAATGTTAAGTTTATATATTTATATAGACAATGTTAAGCTGTAATAAAATACATGTTACAATAATGCGATACATATTAATGTATCACGTTATCACATTATCACCCATTGAATTTTCATTTTATTTTTATATCAGAAATATGTTTGAAATTGATTCAACAATTGAATTAAAAAAAGAATACAAACAAAAATTAAAATATTATTGTGTCAATAGTTTCAATTCACAGAAAATTACAGGTTCAAAGTGAATAATATGTTATACATGAAATAATATATAACTTTAATTTTACTATTTCTAACTTCGTCTAATGATTACAATTATATCTTGTGAACGTTTTCTTTTGCATCGTTTCTATGTTAAAATTACTTCATGTTTAGTTTTTTTGGTCACATAGGTGCTAAATGAATTACTGCATACATATAAGTAACCAGCAGTCATGGAACCAGTTAGTGATGTAATGGGCATTTATAGATGCTCTTAACAGTCAGTATGGCAGACGCAATTTCATACTGTGACTTCAACTCCAAAACGTTTATAGTTCTCAAGATACTATATCTTGTTTTATTTGAAATTTATTTTAAAATATTTTAAATATGCATTTTTTTTATTCATCTGTTACCACTGAATCATATAGTTATTCTCATGAGGTTTGTTTGCGTATAATTTAATAGTGAGGGTGTATTAAGTATAGTGCTTACAGTGTTATTCTATATTCAGTAAAAATATAGTTTAATGTTGTTAATGAAAGACATTTTTTATGGGTTTCTGAATAACAAAAGAACCTTAAAATTTTGATATAGGTTCATCGAATAAGTCAGTTAATGAGTGAAAGTCCAGAACCAAAAAGGCCGACTGTACATCATATGCCAATCAAATGCGAAAGTCCTACAGAAAAGAGACAAGTTACTGCGTTACACGCACCTGTTCCAGCTCCACCAGTTGATGATATGAAGCCTCAAAATATATCATTTATTGGTAAGTACATTTCTCTTTACAAATTTCGAAACATTATTTACTCATGTGGAGATCATTGCCTTTATGTTTTTGTTCTGATTTTCTGTTTGTTCATTCGTCCATGTATTTTAAAGGAAATGATGATGAACTTTCACAAGGCATAAGAGGTTTACACATCACGTCCGGCAGTCGTACATATAGAATTCCATCACCAACTAGACCTTCAATATCACGTAATTCGTTTCAACCTCATCCATCATTAAGAGAGGCCACTCCATCTCCGTCAGGTACCCCAGAGGTGACGCCTCTAGATCCAATGGATGCTGGTGAGAAAGGGTTCTACATTTGTTTCGATAACGACGCACCGAAGAAACCGAAACCAACTCTTAGAGTGAAAAGAATGTCCCCTAAGAAGGTAATTATGAATTATAGATTCAAAGCGTATAGCGTACTATGCACGAAATAATATATGTGTATTTAGTTATTAGTATTTTTAACCTCGTCTAATGATTATAGTTCCACCTTGCATAATATTTTATAGGAAAGGACGGTATCGTCGTACGTTGAAAACGAAGATTTTTCGGTACGACCTGAATCTCCAGCTGCTGTTGTTGATAGGCATAAGCAGCTGGAGGCTCAACGAGATTTAGACCGAGAAAAACAGCGTCACATAGATGAAAGGGACTTCCAACGACATGATTTTAGAAATAAAGAGGCACAAAGAGAAACGGAGAGGGAAAAGCAAAGGGAACGACGCGAGTCTAGTGCGGAAGGTCGACACTCTGGTGTTGGTTTAATAATCGGAAATCAACTTGCGAATCCGGATCCAGTAAGTTTATACAAAGAGCAGTATTAACTTAACTCATATACGTCTCTTTCATTTGATACGTTTAATTTAATGTAATAGAATTCTCTGGATGAAATGGAGCGTAAGAAGGAACGCATAATGCTTTTATCGTTGCAAAGAAGACAGCAACAAGAAGAAATGAAGGAGAGGAAGGAAGCTGAAGCACAAACACGTAGGGAACAAGAAAAATTAAAAGCAGAAGAAAGAGCTCGTAAAAAGGAAGAAGAAAGGCAACGGAGAGCGGCGATTTTAGAACAACATAAAGTAAAGAAGGCGATAGAAGAGGCGGAAAGAGAAGTATGTGTTCATTCTGAGTTTATTATTAATATCTCCTTGAACCGAGTTATCTAATAAATATATTTATTAGGGCAAAGTTATCGATAAGGAGCTTCTCAATGCAATAAAACCAACAAAACTGCGTAATAAGACTGCAACAACTCGGCCACGACCTAAGACGATTCATGTGGATGCTGGTGCGGAGTTGGATTCTGGGGCTCTCACGCCCAGCCGCGGCAAAAAGGGTTCTTCTTCTAACTTGAGCACAGGTATGTCAGTGGATGCAACATGATGCAGTAGTGTAACAATTATTGGTTGCAATGATCAGTGTTTCTTGGAGATTAATCACAGTACAAGAGAAAATTGAGTGGAACTCGTGTAGCTTACTCATGTTGAAACAATTAATATTTCTGATGACATACTCCGCTACGTCGGATTAGTTATCTCCAAGATAACAAATATCACTCTGCTATTCGTAACAAATGTATACTCCTTTTGTTATAATATTCTAATAGTGACAGTTTCTCAATGTTGTAATGTAATTGCATTCATTCTTTGCATGGCGAAGATTCGACTCAAACAAGTTTCACCTCTTTTTTTTTTTTACATAGTATTGCCGTCTTTTTCATATTGAGTTTTGTTATAATCGTTTTTTTTCCATGAGATTTCACCCAGTCACAATTCACAAGCTCAAAGTTTTCTCAGCTATGCTAGTTTGTCCAGTCGACAATCTAAAATAAATACATTAAATCAGTCACAGCCTATCTCTTCATATATTCTCAGACTCATATTCGACTAAACTAGACTGGTAAGGAAAATTCGAGCAGTTTGTTTTGCACTAACACACTTACTGTAGCGTCGCTGACCTCCCCGACGATGAGGCGAGACTACTACCGAGGTTCGCAGGACAGTCTCACTACTGCCCATTTCGATGAACGACGTTCCGGCCCTCTTTATCGGGGCGGCAGTCTCAGGGGTATGCACAAACACACACTCTGACTCGCATTAGTATCTGATACATCATATATACTTATATATCTATATTTATTAGCTTCTGCATACTTAAGTATGCGTACAAAGTGCTAAATCAGCAACAAAATTAAGACTATTGTCTTTCTATGGTTATTAACGTATCGAGTGAAATTTTCTGCTTGTATAATAAACCCCTCGGTATCTGTTCTAGAATTTGAATCTGTTTGAAACGAAATAGCGAAGGCCAAGTAGTGCCTTCGCATAAATTATTCAATAGGGGATAAAGTACATCAAGAGTCGCGAAATAAGTGATAGTAAGAAACTTAGACGTAATGTGAAGATAGGAAGAAGGTCTGTCAACACTTGGAGACTGGAAATTAAAAAGAATGAGGAATTTGTTAAGAGATTAGTCGAGTTTATAGACTGAAAAGTATACAAATTTTAATCTTCATTCGTGGTTGAATCATCTAAAGTGGATGCTTTATTATTTGAATTAAAATAAACTTTTGAAATGATTAGTTACAGATCAATGTGAACAGATACCGACGGATTGTACTTGCTGCTTAGTATGTGAAAAGAATGAACTGAAAAATCTTAACGCATTAATTATATTTAACCGAAGACAGTGCAATATCGAGTATGTAATTGTGTAAGCCAGATTGGATAACTATTCGATGTCATTCAAAATTTATTTTTAAATATAGACATGCTTACTTATAGCACTTCTCCTACAAACAATTTTGCATGCTTCCGTTTGTTTTTTGATATCTGTCAATTAGTTCAGTATCGTAGCGAAACAATTTATTAAACATATAATCTAGTATCGTCTTGGAGAGGAACTAACTGATTGTAATAGAGGTACCCTATTTTAGTATCTTCCGTAGATTCACCCGACGACGGTAGAGGTTCCTCGCCTTGTCGAAGTATGAATCAGCTTGGCCGACGTGGTTCCTACAAGACGTCGAGAGGTGGGTTGATCATTATTTATATAAAGAATGCCACTTTTTTTATCATGTTCCTTAAACGTTTGGCTTGACGAAAGTAGACTCGTTGCAGGATGTATCACTGGTATGGGCAGCTACGTATCGATCTTACAATGTTGAATATATTTCATTAGCATTTCATTATTCTCCAAATACCTGTGTAAGGTTACTTCAGGGTATGACTTCATTTTTTGTTGTTTTCAAAGTAGCGCCTTTATAGTAGATATCTTTCAGTTTTGGAACGCAACGTTATTCTGCACCAACCTGCACCGGCTACCTTGAGTTTTTTTGATGTTCCTAGCGGACATGGCTCGTAGTTAGACTCTGCCCCTGATGCAATGACGTACGATTGAAGCATCCCCTACTATTATATCCTTTGATCGTACCATAGCGTTTGGAATGTAACAAGGTAAACATTGCATTATTGCAGATGTGCAGGAGCCTCAGCAACAGGTTAGAGGCAGGCCTAAATACCCGAGTTACCAAAACTTTAAGGGGAGAAAGTCTAATTCGTTGATGAATTTGTGTGGTAAGAAGCACCAGTGACTTGGAATACGTTTATCCCCCTTCTGTCGTGCAACAATTATTACGTGTCCCGTACACCGTTCCAATTTTATTGTAGGCTATAGCAAACACGTAGTCGCATGGTGGCAGATTGGAGCACAGGTGGCAGTGATAAACTACACGCATACACAAACAGCACATTATTGATACGTCTCCGAAAATTTGTCTGCTACGGTACTAGGTGAAAACTTAACAATCGATTAAAATTAATCAGAATGACAATATATGCATATTCGATAATTTATATTTATTCTTCTACTGTACTTGCAAGAGCAGACAGATTTTCGATCCTCATTCACAGGATAACTCATTTGCTGCAGTAGATAAGATTCAGTCGATGCTTGTTGGGCTTGTTGTTGTACAGCACTGGTTTTGGGTACCGATATATGCAGTGTTTTTCAGATTATTGTTGGTGGTTCCAGTTTCCATTTAATAACCTTTTCACTCTGACTCACATTTAGGTCCTGTATCATATGGTTATCCTATCACTTACGTTAAATATGTATTTGTTCTGTCATTCCTCTCTGTTTTTATTTCCAGGTATTATGGTGAAACAACACAGTAAATTCATCGTGATTTCCATTCACTGATTAATATATGTATATATTTCTGCACTTAACTGTACAAACCGTTCGATGAATTTGCTGTGTTTTATTTATCTGTTTAAGACCGCGAAATTATCACTAGTATACACACATTGTTTTGTTCGCAAATGGACTTATCCATTGTTCCTGGACGCATATTGCAAAAATCTTAGAAAACTAGAGTCTAACGAACGGTTAGAAAAGTTTCGTCTTCGTTCTTGAAACTCCCGACACATAGTTTCCTTAGATTATCATAGTATCATAAAACAGTTGTTCCTTGTGTTTTACGATTAAATATAGGCAGACAGATAGTATCAGAGAATCGTTTGGTCCTTATTGTTCGTATACGGTGTACTTTGTATAATTAAATCATTTCTGAAGTGGATCGTTTTATGTATTGGACGCAAGCTATGAAGATGGATATTGTTGAAGGTCTTTTCGTAAGTCTAACAAGTGACTAATAACACGGTCTTATCAGGAACTAACAGTTAGTAATTAATACAAGTTACTTTGTTCGGATTCCTCGTGCTTGGGGCGGGCAAACGTTACAAACACTGATGGAATTGGAAAGTCTCGTGTACTCTCGTCGGTCCTTTATCGTGAAACGGACACGTACTTGTCGAACGTCTTTATTTCCCTTTATTTCTATCTTCATATACTGAGCTTGCGTTCGCAGGTTCGAGTAGTGATCAAGACGGTATGATGTGTCGATACACAGATACGGACAGCGGTCTGGGCAGGGCGACACCACCTAGGAGGGCACCGAGTCCGGGTATGGGCAGCATGAGGCATCTTCCCTCGCCATCGGGGCCTGGCTCTTTACCTCCTGGTTTGATGACGAAGAGACGCGTGTTCGATGACGGTAGCAGCGACATCAGCAGTACACCGAGTTCGATGATGGACTATAATGGTAACAGTTGTGTTGCATATTAAATGCACGAATTGAAGGCGATATACTTATTGAAGAATATGTTAAAAACAAATGTCACGTGACTGGTGGTGGAGCACGGAAAAAACAAAACTTTATTCATGCACTGCAATAACAGAATACACTCCGAATCAATTGTTTATTGGAAATATCTAAAAAAGAAACTGCAACGGTCTTACTCATTTTCACACACTGTCATTGTTTTCTTCTTCTGGTCAAATCACGCATCTCACTTCACGAGAGCTCGTCACTAACGGTCAGTGACCAGCGACAGTAGTCGCGACCAGTCGCGTCTAGAGATTTGTTATAAGACGCTAAATTTAAATAACTAACGATACTTACCTTGATTCTCTTCTAAGGTATAGTCTTCGCCACGATATAGCGTGATGTGGGTTAGATGTACGTTTTTAACTTTTATAGTTAAAGGTAGAAAAACGGTGATACGCCTAGAAGTTATTTGTTTCCTAATTCCAAAAGAATATGTGCAATTTTTTTACTGGCATCCTTCTAAAGTAGAGGAATTAGGAGGATTTGAAGACGTCCATCTATTTTTAAAAATTTTAATTAGAAACGTTCTAATAAATGAAGATGCTAGGTACAAGCTAGCTTTTAATACAATCATTTGAATAAAAGGAATATGGTTCATGAGCCACAGGTCATAGTCTCTGTTTTAAAAGCTTCTTGTAAATTAAATAAATATGGTATCATCTTATGACATAAAAGTTGGTGGACGTAGAATGTTTGAACCTAAAACGTGGATGCCTTTCTCATAAATAACCTGAATGTTTTATAATATACTTGTTAGAATGCCTTTGAATATATTATTTCTTCTTGTGTCAACAGGCCCGAGATTGTATAAACAGCCTACGACCAAGTCGAATCGTGGTATTATGTTAAATGCCGTGGAATATTGTGTATTCCCTGGCACGGTAAACAAAGAAGCGAAGAGAAGAGTTTTAGACGAAATTGCGAGATCGGAAAGCAAGCACTTCCTTATTTTATTTCGAGATGCTGGCTGCCAATTCCGGGCTCTCTATTCATACTGCCCTGACAGAGAAGAAGTATCGAAGCTGTACGGTACTGGTCCGAAACAAGTTATCGATAAAATGTTCGACAAGTTTTTCAAGTACGTTTATCAATTCCTTCTTTGTTATTATTATTATAACCTGGTTTTAAATTACAGAACGATTTTATTGTATAACGCTACATTGAAATAGAAGAAAGAATGTAAAAGTATTACTTTATTTTTCATTTATGGCTATCAATATATTAATACTCTTAATGGTATGTTTTACAGATATAATTCGGGAGGAAAATGCTTTTCCCAAGTTCATACGAAGCATCTGACTGTAACCATAGATGCCTTTACAATACACAATAGTCTTTGGCAAGGGAAGAAAGTGAATTTGCCGAACAAGAAAGACATGCCTCTCGTCATATAGTTTTACACAAGTGTCACATTTAACATTACGCTACTATGCCCTCTGTTGTTCATAGTTACTATTTTAATACAGGCCCATATTAAATTAATGCAAACGTTGCGTTCTTAGTCAATTTTATAAGGACAAATGATTGATGCTGACACGAAGACGCGAGGGTGCAATCTAACTCGTACACGTATTTGCGATTGCACATTAGAATTAATACGGACTCTTGTTACCATACGTTTCGCTCCTAATTTGTTTTCTTCCTTTTTTAAGTTCGTTTTTTTTAATTAACGTTAGCATCAATCACTGTGTCGTAAGATTACCAATATCTACCATAGGAATGGTTTGTTGTCAGTATCTAATACCTTCGCGGACTAATTCTCGACGTGTAACCGCCTTGTAATCATATAAGCTACTGTGTTGTATATGAAAGATGTGACTGATATAACGGTATTAATTTTTCATACGTTTCTTTTTGTTCTTTATTTGCTAAGAGAGGCAGGGCTTTCATGAACGTTCATCTAACAGATTTCGTCATTAAATTTGCATGAAGTAATTCGCACAGGTTTCCTCGTTAAGCGTAAATGGAAAAAAAAGCTCTTAATTATTATTACCGTAGTACCGTCGTCTTTTACTAAAGGATTACTAAACGCAAATTAGAGGATCATTAATTTCAGCGTATTTAAGACAGAGTCAACGAAGATTTCATTTTTTAATGTAAACTTTGTACGTATTTAATTCATGTTCATAAGAGAAGCAAAAATCGAATGTTTTCCTTGCATTAAAATTGCATATCTAACATTGTAACTTCTATTTTTTATTTAATTAAATAATTTCAAGCTCAAAATTGTTTCGTCCGAATTCCTTCAATGTTTGTATCGTAAATATCTTTCAGCTCGTCACTGTCATTACTTAGGACAAATTAATGATTCCTCGTCGTGTATAAAATTTACAACTATTAACAGATACAGCTACATATACGGGGTGTAAATGAAGTTTAAGGGAAAATTATAAGGGTTGGGGAAACTTACTAAAATAAACCAAATGGTCTTAATAAACACACATTCAGAAATTAATAGTTTGCAGAATATTCTTTATTTAAAACATAAGCAGCGCAAGCTCATGAACATGTCAAAGCCATTCATTCATTAACACAATGAACTTTTGAGGTTAGGGTTGTGTATTGACTTTCATGTTTCCTATATGTTAATGAATGTTTTTATACATTCTATTGATCCATGAAATTTAGATTTAACGTTTCTTTACACCCTGCATATCGTAATTCGTTTGTTTAAAAGTGTACGAACCAGCTCACGGATAAAAGTGGATTTGTAAATAAATAAGTTGATTTTTGATTAGTGAAAAGGAATACCAAATCAGCCTTAAGATCAATCTGAATGTAGTTGATGTTGTGTGAGGATGTTTTTTCCTTACCGTGTAGGCACGTGATAATTTATAATATGCTACATTGATTTGAAGTTCTTGAAACGAGTTCTGTGAAATGTGTATTGGTATAAGATAGATCTTCGAGGATTTGAGAAGTAGAGAATGGGACCGTACCAAACAGTATAAAAAGTTAAATTCGTTCTTCGATGAAAAGTGGTTAATTTTTGGTAACTGACTGAAGAGTGGTCATACAGTATGATAATTGCTACGAACTGTTGAGATTTTCGATCAAATTGCTCCATTTCCTGCGCGCATTAAATACTTATTTTTTATGATATACGAGACCGTTTTAAATCTTGTATTGTTTTCGAGAGTTGTCAGAGGAAAGCAGAGAATGGCTCGGTTATAAATACTGAAGGTAAATACTATTGTTTATATAGCATTTTTCAATTGATTATTTATTTGATATTTCGTAGGCCTAAATATGCTTTGTAATCTGACATCCACGATCTGCATTCCTCGCGATTCAGAAACACTCGGAGAAAGCGGTGTTAGCAGTTTGTTTTGTAAACGTCCTTAGTGTATTGGAAATTTTAACGAAGCGGACTAGAATCTAACCGGTTAAACAAGCTGGTGTATAGTGCTGTTTACCAGTTTCATTGGCAGTATGCGAATCTTTCGTTTCAGACAATCGTACTTTTTAGCATGGTTCTCATTTCCTAATGGAATGCGTCAGTCCAATTTCAAGCGAATGAGATACGCGGTCCGTATTGTACATGATGAATAATTAGCATAATAACGTAACGGAAGAACTATTTATTGTGCCATAAATTTTAATGTCCGCCCTTCGTGTGGGACTGGCACTGACCTTCCAACTTGTCGATTTGATCCTTTTTAACGATGTACGCAAATTCGTTTGTTCGTAATATGCTGATAGGGCGAATGGATAGACATAGATAGAGGTAAATACATTTTTTGTACAGAAATATGGAGGGTCTATTTATCTGAGAATCTTTGGTTTTGTTCGTTTGTTGATTATGTTATAATTAGTACATTGTAAGGTTTATTCATTCATGGATCGTCCGATGTTTGCATGTGTGTTTTAGCTGGACGGGTATACATATACATATACATGCATGGAATTTTGAGCGATGATGGTTAAGGAGGGACAAAGAAATACGAACGGAGATCGGTTCACTTTAACCAAGTAGACCCCCTATATTCTGCAATGGCGTAACACAACACAACCGTATTGATTATTATTAAGTAATTACGCAACATATCGAATTTAATGTTCTTCACGATTAACCCGCGGAAAATATATTTTTAATTCGCAACGACAAACAACTTGGTTCAATCGTCCCGATTATTTCAAGGGCCTCGCGCGCGAGGAGGGGTCCGGGTACATTGTACGTGGGGACTCGCAAGAAGAAAGAGGTTTAACGAAATTCAAAATCCGTCGACTGTAGTATCCAAAGAAATTAATTATTCTATTCTCGTCTATTGTAAATCTATTGCGTATCGTCGTGAATATGGTGAATAGAGAACAAATTTTTGCGCGATTCGAAACGAAACACCGAAATAGTCCGACTTGACAATATCGAACGTGAAGTAAAGAACGCCATAAGATGAATTATAAAAACTGTGGCCGCAAGCTCAAGTCTACGAATGATGACGATGCAAACGAACACAGTGAATGAGAATTTATGATAAATGATATGTAGTCACTAATCTTAAGAATCGACAAGAGTTATCATCCGGCTTGTGGAGGATGGGATTTGAACTAAAAAGCTACAAAAACAGTTAGGGAAATGTTCAGGAGAAGGATGTAAAACTGTAGCTGGAAAGGTGATTGCTTGTGCTTGATATTTATATTTTTCGAAGCAGAGAATATTATTAGTGAGCTGGCAACCGGCGTGATAAATAATGAAACGAAAACAATGATAGAGATACGAATGGGATATAAATAACCGCGCTTACTAATAATAAACGATTACCTTTTATGTAATAATCCTTCATTTTTATTGTTACACTGAACGAAAAAAAAAAAAACAGAAGATGAAAAAAACGTGAAACATTGTCAAATCATACTTGTTCGATTTATCCATGTCTGTAAATATTATGTTTTTATATACGCATAAATGGAACTACCACTCGATGATATATATTTATTGAGTACGTCAAGTAAATTTGGGTCATATTTTACTGTTAGCATCTTGCAGCGAATGTCATCAATAAAATTTAATAACCTACTTTACAATAGACTTTTATTCTTCAGCGAATCGATAATATATACGTATATATACATATAATTATATGGAATTAAGTATGTCTTCTTCGTATTCATTGGCTGTAATGTTAATGTATATATATATAACTTTTGGAGTACAGAAGAGGGTAAATTAGATGACCATACTTTCTCATTGTTATATATTTTATACACAATAGCGGAGACGTCATTGTTAATTTTTCTGCGTATGTATAATATATTACAATTCAACGAATAAGAAAAATATTAGACATAAATATTAAAATATTTTTGTGAAGAACATTTCTCCCTACTCGTACTACTTAATTCATTAAGGACACTTTACAGGGCGCTACCATGTGACTCATTCGCGTGCTCGCTCTCAATTCTGTCTTAAATATTAAACAACTCGACACCTTGCTACCGCTACAAAAGTATAAAATAATTTCATGTCGTTCGTCCCCGTAGCTTTCCTTTTTAATTGCGGTTTTGATCGAGCGCATCTCATGCGTTCTGGCGCCGCTCTCGATCGAAATCGCCGTTTACGCTTATATTAACGGTAAATAAATAACTTTAAATACTGATGTACAATTGTTTTGTGACTTACAAGTGAATTACAATTAAACTATATGGCAGTGATCTTGCTACTTACATGTATGTCGTAACGATCCGGTTTACATTCAGGTTCACGTACAATTTTATGCGAATTTGTGCCATAATTTGTTAAACGATTTAAATGTCGTTTCTCAAACTGTGTTTTTTTTCTCTTTAAATTGTTATCTAAAATACATTTGCTATTAAAAATTATTATAGAGGTGAAACATGGCTTCCATTTCTACTATTTATTACATTATACGTTTCACGATGAGCGTGAAATGATTTCTTTAACGCTGTTTGAATTCTTGTTAAATTATAAATTAACTTCTTCTGATTTTGCACTTTGTACTGTATCATAAATCATAAGATTTATTAGGATGTATGTAGAATACAAGATCTTCAGAATATTTGTATAATTATCAGTATTATTAAGATACCTATTGGAATGGCAATATGCAAGCAACAAATTGCTTGAATTTTATATTCTTGCTTAATTTCATTTTCATAATTTCTGAATGTTGTACTAAAGTGGATTGTTCTGTTAGCCGAGAAATCTGATTGATAATAGATCAGTGTTCGTTAATTTGCATCAATAGTAACGGTAAACAGAATGCACTAATAATGATTATGTTCGTAGTTGTTACAATAAATATCTAATAATAATAATCATTCGTTATTTATACAATTTAAATAGAATTTTGTTGTTACAAAGTATTCGTGGAACTTACATGGTTCAAATAAGTGTCTCATTGTATGTACAAATTAGTTATAAGCGTCAATTGGTGTCTTAAATTTAATTCATAATAATTCTTTCTCACAAAAGTATCGTATATAATAAAATTATAAATACAAGTGTTAGATATGTTAAAAAAATATATAGAGAGAAGAGAATTCTCAGCAATCGGTTTGCAAAATACTTTGCAAAAGCTTGTCGCTACTAGAAAACAAGTTTGAGAAACACAGATGTAAACTTTCTACGTTCGCAAGTTAGCATCTTTTGGCTTGGTTTAGTCTTACACGTCTTAACAATTACAGATTTCCCATCGTGATATGGCACTTGATCCCAGTGTGCAATTGCATTGTATGTATACAGTCCACAGAAACGTTTCAAGCTTTGTGCGTATTTCGTACAGTCTTTGGAACGAAATTGAACAACTTAGAGAAGACTTCGTATGTTGTACTGATCATTATTGTACTGGGCAGGAGCTCAAGTGAATATTATGCAGCTCGTCCATGTCTGTCCAATCCCGTCTTTCCCCGCCTATCATTACATTTCTTATGCATCCATTGAAGTGATCCGTAGTTATTAATGTTCCCTTGGGAGCTGAGGCTGCAATATAATCATTAGTTTCTATTTATCAAGCATACATATATCTCTCACTTTCATTACCAAAAAATGTACATAACTTTATTTCCTTTATTTCTCCTATTGCAATGCATATCAAATTTAACAAACTTGATATTAATAGTAATAATATTAATAAAATCTTAGTAGCTTCAAGAGTAATGTTTACACATCAAAATAGAGAAATATCATTCTAACAACTATGAATCTATGGGTGCTTTGGGTAGGACATTTTTTTATGTAATATATAATAATTTTGTACTAAATTCAAGTAACAAAACAAGTATTACCAATTCTTACCTGGCAAGCCACCAATATATAAAGGTCCAGAGACTGGATTGTCCATGATATGCTCATTGATATTGGCTGGTAGACCATATTTTTGATCCATCTCGTCTACTTTCAGTGCTAATTCCTCATCGTTATAAACCGCCTGGATTCTGTGCCATCGGTTGTCGCAAATCGTGTATGGATTTGAGAATGGTTGCTCGACGTACAATGGGTTGTTGTCCCCCAGATCACCAGACATGATCACCTTACCATTATTCAGTTCCAACGACAGTGAAGGCGTATTGCCTGATGCTGTTATGGAAAGTAAAACACCGGATAATTCTGATGTTCTAAATTCCAGTTGAAGTTCCAACACAGCACCTAATTCGAAGTTTCTCTCTGAAAGAGAAATATACTGATGTATAAACACTGATTTTCACAAATTCATTCTTATAGTGAACTTGTTATGCTATTCTGGTTGAATCAGAAATAACGTTCTCAGCTGATGAAGAATATTCAGTGAATATAATTGAATTATAGATTTTATGCATTTATAGAATATAAGATAGTTCAATATTTACTAGAGTTGAGGAATTGGTAACGTTTAATGACGTCCTTACTTTATTTAGAGCCTGATGAAGCTTGTAATATTGGTAAATAAGTTTATGTATCATTCCAGTATCTATAAATTAGTGCCTACAAATCCTCCGTATAACAATAATTGAAGAATAGTAATAATAAGCTTTTCAAGTTTAACAATAATTGCTAAATGTAATAATAATAACAAGTGTATGGTAGATAAAAGATAATTGTAGATTATCTTCAAAGGATACAAACTTATAAAAGAGAGTTGTATATTATTTATAACCCGATCAATATGCACATAAAAAGTTAAAAATCTACCATATTATTTCTTACGTCCTCGTCTTTGTTTTTTTATGAAGTTGGACATTGAAAGTTTATCGCATACGTGTGCACTTACTGAACAATACTATGTGCTCTCATGTCTGACCATTACTGGTTATTTCTACTTATATGCATGTTTATAAACATTTTCAACGGGACACTATTATTAATTTTTCATAATATATTATTATTTCACATTTTCAACTACTTTTTTCTATTGACTCAATAGTGCCAAGTGCGTTCAGAAGCAAAAAATGGAGTAATAGATAGATCTGCGGTATTATACATTCCTAAAGTAACTACATACATTGTATATGTATTTACGACTATAGTCAATAAATTTTGAGTACAATTGTTTCGGAAATGTTGATAACTAAATGCGACAGATGAATGGTTCTCAATATTATCATTACACTGCAGAAGTTTATGCAAATTCAGAATATGAAATACTAATTTATAAAAATGAAGAGTAAACAGAATTCCATTTCCTGTATTGGGAGTTTTATTATGTTAATAACAATAAGACTGCCGATTTTATGTATTTGTAGCATACTCAGGCGTCTGCAAATTATTTAGAACAGTAAAAAGTTTAATGAAATTCAATGAGGTTTTTATTTTAGTTCGAACTTAAAAGAATCTTCAATGGAGTAAGAATATTTTAACTTGACTCTAGTTTCTGTCAATTTATCCAAAAAAGTCTACATTTGCATAAACATCCGCAGTCTAATAATAATAAAAAATAGTATTAAATTTTGTTAAAATCTTCATGTTGCTACGTTTCGTAAGTGAGAGGATGCTATGAATGCATAAACGTCCACGGTCTAATCATATCCTATAGCACACACTTATACAAAGTGTCCAACCTAACGTGAGCACCTTCAATATCCCACGTATTTTCTGAAGATACAAACAAATCCTAGGGGAAACTATTATTTCATTAGAAGGAGCAAATACTATGGATAAACAATCATTTTTCTAAAGGTCATATTTTTCGAAATTTTAAGGTCATCGATGTTTATTTAAATGGGACTACATATTTATATTAGCGTGGTATAGTAGTTGAGATGAAGACCGATCTAATGACCTTCATGTGATCTTGAGTACGAAAAATTCACAAATGTATTAGAGTAAATTTAAATAATAAAAAATGTATCGAAGTGGATGAACATCACTTCGAGCATTTAATTAAACAATCTTTCTGCAAATCAAAAGTTAAGTGAGATACTAAAGGTGCTCACGTTATGTGGGACATTCTGTATAATACTCACTGTATATGGCGTACGCGTCGTCTTGGAAATAGGCTCCGCTTTCAACGTTCGGAAAGCATTGGCCCACTTGGTATGCTCTGCTCGTCGAACCGACCATGTCGTACACGTTTCCGTTCACCCTTAAACCTCTGATGCAACCCTTTAGCGTTTCAAGCTTAACCACAACTTGTTCCGGTATAGGTGTCCCACTTTCGGGGAGACCACCAATGTACATCAAAGAGGCCAATCCAATCTTTCTCGGCACTTTGATCCTTCGTGGTGTTTGGGTGTCGACGAGTAACGTTAATTTTCTCTCGTCGTGACTGATCACGACGTGATGCCAATTACCGTCATTGAACGGGGTTTTGAACAATATCTCTCTCTTCTGTTTGCTCTTTACTAGGAGCAAAAGCTGACCATCTCGGATCACTATCATAAGATAATGCTTTGGTCTGAGGCCCTGTAAAGTGAACAGAATTTAGTGTTGTAGAGTAAACGGAAGAAATTATTATACAGAGTGTCATGTAACTGGTGGTACAACCGAGTAGGGAGTGATTGTACACTGAAAACATAAGTTGAAAATATAGAAACGAATACATTTTTGTCGTTTGAGGTTTCGTTTTCGAGAAAATTGGGTTTGAACATTCACCTAAAACACGTGATTCGTACTGGGAATAAGTAGAAACGACCTGCAATGAACAGACGTGTCACCCAAGTCCTATTCTACTACCCATGTATCAAATTTTCAAGTTCAATTGTTCACGAAACATCATTCAAAAAATTTTATTTCTTTTTTCGATTTATTTTCTCTTATAGGTATATATGTACATACAGGGTGAACCACGAATCGTGATCAGTAGAGATTACTCTATTATTAGCAGTTTAATCGAAAATGTTTTTATCAGGTATAGCATGGATTCAAGAGAACTTTAACGTGATTATAGCAAATTTTTTGTCAACTCTTTTGTTTTCATGATTTTTCAAGGTCACCTTCAATTTTTTGCAAATACACTTATAATTTTTTTACGCCTATCTGTTAGAGGATTTCAAGACGAATTCGGTAAATATCATAACATAACGTTTAATAAATTAATATAATTGACAAAAAGTTTGCTATAATCACGTTAAAGCTCTCTTGAAACCATACTATACCTGATAAAAACATTTTCGATCGGACTGCTAATAACAGAGTAATCTCTACTGATCACGATTCGTGGTTTGAGACACTCCATATACGTGGTGTCCAGTAAATTCTAGTACAATCGAGGAACAGATTGAAATTTGAGAATGTAATTTTTTTCACATAGAGCTTCATTTACTGAAAATTCATTAGGCTCGTATATTTTCCAATACAACTCACTACATACATACTGCGTCTGCCTATTACTCAACATATAATTATACTATAGTAATATTCATTTTCTATCTCTCTTGCTATTCAGTAAAAAATTATTTGACGCATTGAAAATGCTACTTTATGTGAAGAATACCAAAGTCTCTTGTAATAAAATCGAAAAAGGGTTGAAGTATTAATTAAATTTCTTTGCATACCGGTGTAATAAATAGTAGGCCGTTCGGATAATACGTCCTGAAGTCAAATTCTATCGCGTATTTCTTCTCCCAGAATTTCTTAAAATTCAGATAAAGCTGAGTATGGCTGTTCGGTTTGTCACCGAATTTCAGAGCGCCAGGTTCCAACGAGTAGTACGGAACTTTCTGGCAGCCTTCTGGTTGCGTAGACATTCCTCTTGACAACGAGGCAGACGGTGTGTAAGTTGGTGGATCCTTTCCCATGCTTGGCCCTGGACGGCCAATGAGCGCGTGCTCGAAACTGACAATTTCGTCGAATCGAATAATTCTAAAAAGACAAACAAACGTGGTTGTAAAGAATAACAGAACAATATAACAAAAGAGAATGATAAACATAACGGAATAAATTAACATAATGTTCTTCAAGGATCTTCTGTTCCAAACAAACAGCTCGCGTTAATATTCTAATCTTTAGATCTATTACAATTTGTATGTCTTCAATCCTTTTAGCTAAACAATGAACAATTTTTATTTTCGTATTTATTATTTGAAACAATAAAATCATTTATTTACTCGACGAGATTTAGAAATTTCTTTTAGACATTCGACTCCATTAAATTTATTTGATACGTTCAGTCGAGTCATATTTATCACCGTTATTATTATTTTAATTAAAATGTGTTAATGTTTCTCCGTGTAAATAAAGTTAGATTAATATATTTAACTTACTCGTCTATAACATCAGTGTGGCTCGTGAATATGGCGTCTTTGATGGCACCGTATAGGGGGACGTTCGTGGCGATCATTTTGGTATTGTTAACATGTACTGGTAAACCTCCGAAGAACAATCCACCAGTTCCTTCGGGTGCTCTGATGGCTATGCTCGTTGGTAATCTGCCTGTGGTCTGGTAAGCATCGTCTATTCTTAACTCAACATCTTTTCTTTTTTTAATGATTGTTACTGAATGGTATCTGCCATCGTTGAATGTGTCGTTCGATTGCAAAACGAGCTCTCCTTTTCCAGCATTCAATCGAACTTGTACTTGACCATTGATTATGCACACTGAATAATAATTGTCTCTCTGGAAATGTATTTTCGTTATATTTATTATAACAACTCATCATTACGTTTATGTTTAAAAAAAATAAGAGGTGTGTATCCATTTGTTGCGTATCTTTGTTGCGTATCATCGTATCGTATCATCATAAGATATATTTTGATACGCAACGATGCAACGCTTTCCCCTCCACATTGATATATGTATACGGTGATACGATACGAGGATACGCAACAAATGGATACGCACCTTTCGATAGTAATATTTTAAGTATAATAATATTTAATTTTTAAATATTTTAATCTAACTAATATTTTGTTAGGTGTACTAACGAGTAATAGCACTGTTTTCCTATTGGGACATCAATATAGATTAAGTTGGAAATATGTTTGTGTCTTTTGTTCGATAAGTGTGGTATCAAATGTTGAAACACTTTGACTTTCAGTTTCCTTAAGTACAAATGATGATTATGACAAAAAAGGATATATCACTTATTGGTACACCTAACAAACATAATATTTGACGATATCAATTTGCAACAAATAGTTTTTTTTTACATACATTTGATTCTTCGTTTGTGTGTCGTATATTATTTAACCGTTCCTTTTGTCCTTCAAACGTGGAAAGAAGAAGTACAGCATCTTTCTGTAATGTCCTGAAGGAAAAGCCCATCACAGAGTATCTTTTGCTCAAGGTGTACGCTGAATGCTGTAAGTACCCATTACCGTAGAATCCTACTATTTTTAACGGCTGAAACAGTAACAATTTATAGGTATATATTACTATCTCTAAATGCAATTGAAAATAAATATACCATATTGTGGTATCGCAAAATTAATAATATTCTTCTAATTATTAAACAGTAAATTCTCATCTGAATTCCTATTTTTATAGATTATTTTCTAAAAATCAGTTCTTTTGTTTCTTTTGCTTGGTGGGTGAAATTCCCTGAATCTTTTATGCCAGTGGTATTATTCTCCATTCACTTACTTTACTGCCACAAGTAGGTTCAACGCCGTAATACTGTTCCGCCATTGGATCGTAGCCCTCCTGAACATTAATATTGGACATGCAGCCGAGGAAAGAAACTTGGGAGGGTAGCATTAACTTCTCCGCTCGGAAACTCGGCGGTACACCGCCGATGTAATATTTTGCCTGCGAGAAATCAGGAATGTCTTCTTTCTTGGGCTGAGGCGTGGGCGCCCCGATTCTTTTGTCGGCCTCACCACCGACGCTCAAGCTACATTTCTCGATATTTTTTCGTAGCTGGTATTGTCTAAACGCGTCCATTTTCGTCCAATTTCCGGTATTGTACTTGTGTTTCGAGGACATCTCCATGCTGGCGTTGCCGCCGTATCCGACGTGCAGGATCACTTTTCCTTCTCGCAGGAATATCATGATATGCTGATTCTGTTAAAAATGGAATCGATATAACGATAATACTACTGGATAAATATTTAATTTCAATAAAGTAATTTTAAATTATGGTTAACCCTTAACTGGCCAGATGGGGTCTGAGGAACGCCATGAATATTTTATTTTTATTCAATTGTTATTTATGAAAATGCTTATTTATTTCGATGTTTTCTTAGTGAAAAATAATTACTAGTTGTGCAATAAATAATAAGATTTGTGTAAGAAGTAATAAGTACATAAGATTTTCACCTGACCTGTTAAGGGTTAATCAACATTGTGATTTGTTGGGCTACAAATACGATGTGGTTTTTAATTTTAAGCAACTTTGAAAAATAATCTTTGTTTTAATATTCACTGTTTTTGTATTGTTATAATCTATTAACACTTATTTGCGTCGTAGAAAGGAAAAAATAACTAAAAATAAATATCTTAGTGAACAATGTAACGTGAAATAGGGGATGAAATGCAATGTATCTCAAATTGTGGATTAAATTAATTCCTGAAATCTAAGACTTAAAATTCACATTGGCCCACATATGGATCAAATTATTGAAGCGAATGAAATTCAGTAAACATAGAAACTTCAGTAATGTTCTAATAGAATTATTAAAGGTGGAAATTAGTTTCTATTCATCTTTAATTTTTTGAAACTATAATATATAACAATTCGAAGGTGGTCTCTTTAGAGAGAATCTTTAGTTTTTTAAAATTAATATATAACAATTTAATGATTATTAATGTACTGATTAATTGCCGGAAAAAATAAAACAGTTTTTAAATAATAGTTCGAAAGTTTAAGGATCGTTATTAGGAATAAATAATAAACGAAGTATTTCATACGTTATCTGGATTAATAGCCAAGAACAGTAAAGCGTTCTCGTCGTATGTCCGGAAGTTAATCGAGACACCAAACGTGTATTTGTTGTACGGCCCTGATGAGACTCTGCTCCTGACTGCGTAACCTTCTCCATTGAAACTGTAAGCTACGTCGTCTCTGGCGTCTTCCACCCTACGATATTCAAATAAAATGTATACAATATAAATAAAATTCAAGTAATAATTTTTAATACATTAATACCGAGTACGAAACTGTTCCAGCATACAAATCATTTTTCCCAGATAGCACATGACACCTTGAAGACGCCCATTTTACGGTTATTTTAAGTCTAAGGCGCCTTTAAGTCGTCTTTAAGGCGTCATTCAGTCATGAAGTGTTAGTAGTTTTTTAATAATCATTTGAAAATTGGTTGAAGAACACGAAGTCGGCCGTAATGGGTTAATAGCAAAGCAATGAAGAAAATGTGGACATTCATATAAATTTACATTTCTGTGAACCAGTGTTTATACAAACGAAGTTATTTACATTATCAAGGATTTCAAGCGAAATTAAGCCGCTATAAAATTTCATATTTTTATTATGTTTCTGTAAATGCATAAAATCCACGGTCTGGTAATAATTGTTCTTTTTTTTTTGTATAAATAATGATTCTCTTTATTTCTGTGAATAAAATCAATGTTCGTTTTAATAGTTACCCTTCTACACAAGCTTGACAAGCCATATCCGGCGCGGTTGTGATGAAATTCCAAAGACCAATAGGTTTTCCGTCCAAAATCACTTGGTACACGCAACCCGGAAGTCCGTTCATCGCCTTTAGTTCCGCTCGCCGTCTCTGAGATCGAGGAATTCCTCCGATCCAGACACGATCCGATGGTGTGATGTCGAATCGACCGTATTCCGAGTCTGTTGAATTCGTCACAGGCAGATTTTTACCGAATGTCGATGTCTGCTTCTGTACGTACAGTTTGCCTATGTGCCGGACTCTGCGATTTGATAAAGATTTTTTATGGAATTTTTCTTTTGTTACATATAGTAAAGTTAAGAAATGTAGTCAGAATGCAATTATTTGGTAATTTAAAAAATTCTTTGTATTTCCGTAAGGAAAACAAAATAATAATAAATAAATTTGCGTATCATATAGTGCTACAAATATTACACAGTAATTTAAATTGAAAATATTTAAGCACAAAATAAATAAAGCATATTTAAGAGAAATAATAATGTGAAATATAAGATTATAAAATTTGGTGATGGAATGAATTTTATTAGTTTAATAATATTTGACGATGTAATAGTTTCCAACATTTCAGAGAAAAAGATTTTTTATCGAAATGTTGAATAATATTTGTTGAATTATACAGTACCTTTCAGCTTCTACACGGTACCACGATTTATCGTCTTGAAGATCGCCACTCTCGATCATTTCAGGGTGAGTTAGAATTCCCGTACCTCCGCCAACGTTCCATACAAATCTCACTCTTCTATCAATGATCTCCAACGCGATAAAATCATCCTATACACAGGAAAATAGAAGAACAATGTATTATTTTCATTTGATCGATATTACGAATTTACGACGTCGTAGACTTACGTTTATACTACTTGGTAAGTACAATAGAGAGCCTTCTTTCGACCCACTAGGGAGCGCAAAAGTCATTATAATCGTGTTGGTTGTTGTCGGTTGCAACGTAGATGGTCTGTACGATCGAATGCATTCTTTTTTATCGGCTGATTTTAAAGAGACTCGAATCTGTACAAATTAAAAAATATAATTAATAAGAAGATTTTTCTAGAGAAGACTGCGAGTGATGATGAAAATTCACATTTTTGTTTCAGATTAATTTTTAAAGTGCGATTTTCTTGAAAATGACGTCTCGAATGTAATATTTTTATTCTACATTTTTAACTTATTTTTTCATGCAGAATCACTCTATATCCAGTTATACTACTAGGACATGACACCTTGTATTAGATTGAAAAAAAGAGTAAAGTGTTGCGTTGATTTTTCTTGTTCTATACATATAAGACTATAGATCAAATAGAATAAAATTGAAATTGCGTGCAGATGAAAAATGAATAAGGGAGTTATTAAAAATCGAAGTATCGATTGTGATTATAATTACCCCGTCAGCGGTGTTTCGAGCCTCAGCAATTTTGTCCTTGAGATTCTGCAACTTCGTGGCTAAGGTGTCGTTCCACTTGTTAAACTCATTTTTCCTCTTCACGGCCGCGTTCGACAAGCTTATCAATTTAGCGTCCGCTTTTTTTATGTTACTCAGCGCCTCTGTCACTGAAATCATTGTTCACGATCAGGTCAACGTATAGAAAAAACATTACTAATTGTAAGTTAAACACATTCACGTGCGTCATAGTAGGAGATTTTGTTAGCATATCTTACATTTTTCGCTGGCTAAACTAATTTTCGAGTCACCCTCCCTCTTCAATTCGTACAATTTTGGTTTCAATCTGTCCGAAATCCCATCGTTGTAATCCTCGATGAGCTTCCGCGTGACCTTCGTGGCTTCTAACACTTTATCGTTATCGTTCAGTAAATTCTGAATATTTTCCCGCACTAAACAAAAAAATGTTTAAATTGTTTAGCTTCGTACAGGTAAGATTAAATGACAATGATTTACTTATGGTTCGAAACTTTTAATCACGAATCGCAGATTAATCCGCTAACTGCATTTATCCAATACACTGGACATCTACTTCATCACTTTTGTGAAAATATTTAGAATATTTCCTGACGATCGGCAGAATGAACCTTCTTTAAATGACATCCAGACATTAGAAAAAGGATGTTACTGTAACTACTACTGCCGTTACTTATCGTGAGTAAACACACTGTTTATAAAAAGTAATAATAACATTTTTTTACACGTGTTAAATAGTCCTAAAATGACTATTGTTTCTTCATATTATGAAACAAATTTTTGTACAAGATACCAACAAAAATTGCAGTAAGCGGATTAAACATATAAAGTTCTTTATTTAGTTATTAACGATATGGATACTTCTCAGTTCGCAGATTAAACGTAAGTAGGTCTTTACCCAAATAGCATATGACGCCTTGAAGACGCCCATTTTACGACTATTTTAGGTCTAAGGCGTCTTTAAGCCGTCTTCAAGGCATGATGTACTATCTGGGAAGGTATTGATGATAGGGATTTTTATGAATGTATAATAAGTTTATTAAATGTATCGAACGAACTTACGCTTTTTACTGTCATCTTGTAAATTCTGCAACTTCAGGTTCACTTGATTGTCCCTGATCCCAGTAGTGTTCAAAGTATTCTTTAAAATTGTCACCGCTTGCTTTTGAACGTCCAACTGGTCATTCGCATCTTCTACCATCATCCTATGTTTTTTGGCACTCTCCCACTGTTTCGACGACCCAATCGATACTTCTTCTGTACTGTCTAACAGCGATTTCCCGTTGGGACCATTGGGAAACGTCTGAGAAATAAATTTGGTGATAATTGTAACGGTTTAGAAAAAAAATAACTTTTCGTATCTTTTCCGGCGCTAAGTCGCATGAATCTTTAAACATAGTTATTTATTAATCAAATTTTTCTGTCATTATTATTACTATGGTTGGTAGCGAACGGGTTGATTATTATTTAAGTAAATTTAATTATGGATTTGCAATTTCTTCGAAATGTCCTAGTCTTAAAACGATTTTGCATTTTTAAGTACATTATTTTTTTGTAATGAAGCATATTTGCACCTCTTTGCATTCGAATATTGTAACTGACGTTCCCTTACCTTTTGGTACGTATCTTCGGTAAGCTGTTTAGCTGCCATTGCCGTGATATTCGCCATTTCAATGCTGTCGACGATATTCTTGTACGCTTGACTGGCCTTCAGCGGGCTAGCTGCGATGTTTCTTGTCTCGGAAAACAGACTGCTCGGCAGAAACGCCAAGTTGCACTTTATCAAGTTATCGATTGAAGTAATTGAAGTAACGGTTGTTCGTCACTGGAACTGACTTCTATTGTTTCATGCAAATCTACGTTCTCCTTGTTTCATCTTTTTTAAGAAAAAGGTCTAAACAATTTATATTATACTATACAGGATGTTTAAGAAACGTATATTCATTATATTATTTACTATAAGTGAATACGCTAGCAGATTAATGCGCTAGCAAATAATCAAAATATATGCACATATTAATAAATAGTAAATACATATACTTCTCAAAGGTAATACAATGAAATCTGTAAAAGAATTGACCATATAATTTATTTTCCTCTTGACTTAATAGAACATCCCAGATAGCACATGACACCTTGAAGACGCCCATTTTACGACTATTTTAGGTCTAAGGCGACTTTAAGTCGTTATTAAACCGTCTGTGTGCTATCTGGGATCAAGTATTTAATTGTAGGTTTTATGAATTAGTCCACATATACTAATGTATGTGAACAAAACAATCGTAATCTACTCATTAAATATTCCCATAAGAAGAAAACTAAATTATTTACATTAATTAAGTCACTTTAGTCAATAGATCGTTTCTGGAAAGAAAGGAATCATACTATATATTAAAGGTACTGAGTTTCAGATGCACGTTGATTAAGTAATTTTACTCTTATTTGTGAGAACCATTCCTTTCAGAGGTTTCTGACGCTTCTTAAACACCCTGTACTGTTCAAGTTAACAGAACCAGTGTGGAACATTTTCAAGTATTTTTTACGTAGCCAGCGTATAAATAATGATATAAAGATCTTAGCAATGTAAAATGTGTTTACCAGAATGAAGTATATAAAACTATTACTACTTAAAAGGGGTAGTAACAAATTATTGAAATTTTATACATTTGCATTATATTAGAAAGCTTCAAAAATATTGGATATTATTTCATTAAAGTACAAGGAAAAAGAATTTTAATCCTGGAAAGGTGCTCCATTTCGTTTTATGGTCGACTATCTACTTACTATAGTCGACTATCTTTACTGTAAGAAATTTAATTTTTCGGTACATAAAAAGAATAATAGATAAGAAAATGACTAAATATGAGTAATATATTCTGAAAATCCTAATAATAATCAAAATATAGGAGACATAAATGTTTAAGTGTATTATTCAATTCTGACTAATGATTTCCTCACCTAACATACTGATCAACATAGTTTGACAGATTCTTGGCATGCTGAACGGCTGGCACCACATATTTGTCATTATATTCGTAATTTAATCTGTAGAGCAACTCTTCCTTCATAGTTACTTTATCAAACCAGTATGTCAATTTGCTTTGCAATTCTGGGAGGTCCTGTAAGTTAATATTTGTTTTCTACTACAATGTTTTGTAATAAAGGTATATTGTTATACTAGAAAATACATTAATATATTATAAAATATGAAACATTTTTGGAAACTATAAATAGAATTTCTTAATTGATGCATTTACAATATCACATTATGATTACAATGTTCCAATTAATTAAAATTATATACCTGTAAATTGTTCTGAATATCAACAATGAATCCGCTTGTTTCATCCCTCAATTTTTCACCTTCGGTAATGGATTCGTTCATTTCATTCTTTAGAACATTAATCTCACCGCAATGATTTCTCGCTTCTCCAAGGGTCTGGTTAATACCGTTGTATAAACCGTCATAGGTAAATAATGTTTCCATCGTGTCTTCAATGACAGTTCTCATGTCATTCACTTTCAACGAGTAGTCCTCTACATCGTCCTGAGCGATTGCTAAGGGTTCCGTTGCATCGTATAAGGAATTCAGCCACTCAGTATATTCCGCAACATCCCTAGATTTTTTGAAAATATTAAATGACCGTCTATCATTTGTATGAAAGTAACAGCATAATTATATAAAAATTTCTGACTAGCAATAAGACATCAAATTATAATTATATATTTTTCTCGAGAGTGTTGGGTTGTTGTACCTCTATAGAAAGAAGGTTTCACTGGCAGATCGAGCTTATTATGCTTTTATGAATAAATATTATTGAAAATGATTATTATTTGAATGTTAAATGTACAGAAAAAAATACTCTAAGATTGTTTGAAATTGATAAAACAAATAATAAATTAATATGAAATTTAGTTGATTTAATGATATGCATTTAGTCTTGGAAACATTAAATCAAAGAAACTTAATCTTTATTTAATTTTATTGTACAGAACGTAATAGTAAATCATTTAGTGAATATGTTACAGATGAAACTATCTTTGAAAAATGAATTCTAAATTTAAAACTTTGTTTTGAAAAAGCCAGATTTTTTAATAATGTTACGAAGAGACTTATGCTTATTAGTTGACAAAGAAGTACAACTTTAATTCTTCGTCATTTTGCATGAAGGACCCTGAAATACGTAGCTTAAATTAATATATGAAATTTTATTATTTAACTACTAACTCAAGGAAGTTTTCTATTTCCATTGTCTTTCTTGTTAGATTCACAGACTTCAGGCTATTTAGGATCATTTTCGCCATTTTCAATGCCTTCTTAATTTCTATCCTCTTATTGTCGTTACTATACTGTGTCAGTTGCAAAACGGTCTCTGAAAAGTATAAAAATTCTTTTATATATAATTCTACGACTTTTAAATTCTTTATCATTGAACAAATGTTATGCAGAGTTACCATTGATGTATTTTCTTAAATTTTCTAGTTCGATATTTGCGCTGAATATATTATTCTTCAAGTCAGCGCTTTTCGATTTTAAAGTATCTGCTTGCTTAGCTTCGTCATTTGCCTGGAAAAAGTTTCAACGAATTAATTGTTGACGAACTCTATAAACGAAAATAAAATGAAATTTTCGGGCCTTAAATAATTTACCATTTTCTTTAATTATGAGTCGATATATTTTAAATTAAAAATTCCTTATATATTCAGATATTGGAAAATATGAACGGAACAGCATAGATCCTTGACTTCCATAGAAAGGAATATTGATTTTACCACGAAATAATGGATTACTTATTGGTACACCGAAGAATAAAAATATACAGAAAAAATGACGAATTTTTTCAGTTTCACAGGAATTCTTCCATTTACCAATAATGAAAAATCCATGATAGATAAAAGTTTAATTATTGATGATCTTCGATGAAACAAATTTTAAAAAGACAAATGAAAGTCATTTGCGATTCTATCCAATACACATAAACATTTGTGTGTAAATATACAATTTGCAATTTTAGTACACGATCTAAGTTCATTGAATTGCTTACTATTATAAAATATTTAATATTCCACACTACTGTTAAGGTTTTTATCGTGCTTGTTCGAATACGTACGGTTCTAAATAGCGTTTCAACGTGTTTTAAGAGCTTTCTGTAGTCGTGCCACGGGATATTTTTCATTCTCTGTTTCAAACGATTTTGGATGTCTATTTCTTCGAAAAACGCAGTAGCATTGGAATCGATGTACGATAGATCTTCCCACGGCGGGGGAATATAACCATCGGCTATATGAGTGGTGCCTTCTGCCAATTCTTGTGTTAGTACCGCCACGGTGTCGAGCAGTACACCAGTACAATTGTCGTTGCAGGCTAGGAAATATATCAAATGAACAAATTGAACATCAATTATAAAATATAAACAATAAAAATCAAGTTTAAAATATTAATTTGTGTTTTTAATGAAAATATTAAATAGGTTTTATTATAGTTTAAGTAATTTTTCTAAAGATTTCTCCGAAATATCAAAAAGAAATGTATCTTTGTAATTAGAAATAAAATGAAAACTTATAAATCCTTATTTAAATCCTTCTGTTACATATTATTTTGAGTATTATTTCTTTTGCTAAATTTGAAATATAAAAATATCAAAATAATTAATTCTTTGAAATTGCTATTATTTCAAATGCATCGATAACATTTTTATTTTCAAATAACAGTATTGAAAATAAAGTTCCAAATAATTATTTCTTATTTACATTTAAAAAAAAAATATGCCCAGGTCTGATTGTTATTAACTATCTGATAATAAAGTAATTTTATCAATTTAAATAATTTAACACAATAATAATAAATTTATAAATAATTCAATAAACAGTTTTCCATACTGTATTCAGAATGATATGTGTTTATAATAAAAAGTTGGATATTTTTCACTTACACGTGCAAACGTTGTTTATATAAACGTGTCGATACGCCGTGCATTCGGAGCAATCCCGTCCCGTCGATCCAGCTCTGCATCTGCACTGTCCCGTTTCCATGTCGCACTCGTCGCTCACGCTCCCAGCAAGATTGCAGTTGCACGGAATGCATTTACCGCCAGGGAGGTCCGGAAATCCGTAATACCCGGAAGAACATCGTTCGCATTTTCTGCCAGTGTAACCTGTTACGATAAAAACATTAACATATCATCATCTCCGATTAAAACGAGTAACAATAAATTGCTCAAAATAATTCGATGATCAAACGAATGGATGAATTATTTATTGTTATTTGATAGACAATTTTTATTACATTAAATAATAGTCTAAATTTGTATTCTAAATCTCTTTTATTGCTTAACGTCAACTTAAAACTTTCATATATTGGGTTTTATACAGCTTTTAATTCTCGATCAAAATATTATATCAAACACATACTAAAGTTTAAGGTTGATGTTAGAAAATAATAAATGTCAAACAATCGAAAAACTTTCCTTCCCAATCTTTCTTTCGATTAAATAATTTTTATTTAAATGACTTATTCTTATTCTAACTTTCAAGAATATAATTTCTATTTTTATTTCAAGTGAATTGTTCGAGATATATCGTATCGATTTTTAAACTATTTTTTTTCTACTATTACTTCTTATTACTTCGAATTATTCACGTTACCTTTATCAGTCAATATTTTTGCATATTAATGTAAATAATGTGTTCAATTAAACTAGTGAATTGTAAATATTCTTATCATCAACAATTTCGAATACTCCAAAATATCCTTTCCTTATCACAACAGTCGTCCAAACAGTTGAGATAGCAAAAGATTGTCAGTCCGTCAATTATGTCATTGCTGCGATTATCAATAATTTCGAACTTTCCAGTGTAAATATTCTTATTATTTATGAGATAATAAAAGTACGAACCAGGTTTACAAACGCAAAGAGGCTCAGTATCGGCGCGGATCATACAGGTGTTCGAGAACCTCTTATCCGTTTGTGGGCAAGGGCATGCCTTGCAACCACCGAAATCCGGATGTCCATGGAAACTGTCTGCGCAGACGTCGCATCTTGGTCCTGCGGTATTTCCCCGGCAATTCTGTAACGAAATTTTTACTTTTCATTACAGTATTATTAACCCTTTGCCATACGATTTCTTTTACGACTTCCCTCTCAATAATTACTTTCTCGTTAATATTTTCCCAGACACAAAAGAAATGCAATTCTTATGGCAAGTGTTACATTTATTCGAAACCATAAATGTTAATACCAGCGGAACAGTATTTCACGTCGACTCAAAGAAAACGAATAATATACATGTTTACTAAATTTAGTTTGAAATCGTTATCACGTGTCTGACTCGATGTTGTAAGGGGTTAAGAAAAAAACTTATTTGTTAGATATTTAAATATAAACTGAACAGATGTCCATCGGACTTCTGGTATTATTCGGTTTTATTTTTCGATTTTTTTACGATTTTTTTTCGATTTTATTCAGGCTTAATAACCATGTCAGAAAACAGCGCACGACCAGGTTCCTTGAAATATGTTTAAGCAGAGTAATCCCTTTTTTACTTGTTTTATACTAAGTTTAATGTAAGTTAAAGAAATTAAGTGTATTATGAATATTCCATAAAGTTAAAATAACTTTTTTTTGTGAATTAGTGATTTGCAAATCAAGATTTATCAAAGTAGTTAATATTTTGAACCTTCGCTAAATTTCTTCTATTCAGTATCCCATCATAAAGATTAATTTTTAATTATGAATTAAATATTGCGTTACCCACGTATGAGTGATGTGGCAGTACAAGTGTTAAGTAATAATTTAAAAAGCTGTCGAGTAACAATTTCTAACAAAGCTTTTATTGTTTCTGACTGGAAATGGTAGGATTAAAGTATTCAAAGAACTTACCAGACAATATCCCGTTTCTCTGTCACAGACCTCCGATCTTCCATTACACTGACAGCGTCTGGCTTGTCCAACTAGATCAATAACGATCGTCGACGTTACAGTTGTGTTCTGGTACCACCTGTAGTATCCAATGCTTGGATCCTGACAGGATGTGCTGTTATATTCGGGTGGACATTTGCAAATCTCGACCCCCGTCGCAAATGACGGCGTATGCGTAGGTGTGTGAATTGCAACGTCTATAGAAGCCTCGAGTAAACTGAAATGAAATCATAATTATTAGTCAATTAGATGTAAAATTTATAAAATCTTGTAAACACATCTAATGTAGTGTTGATTTGATAATATTCCCTTGAAACGACCCTTCGGGTTCTTTTTTTGTAATTAATTTTTTTGAGGTAGTATTTTCACCCTTAACGAGTGAGTAAAGTTTCATTAATAACTAAATTTAGCCACTGTTTCCGTCAGGTCTCTTCTTTTCAAAGAGGAAAGGAATATAAATTTAATAAACAAGTAACAATTTAAGAGAAGTATTTATGGTGCATTGAATTCTTAAAAACGATGTAAATGAAATGCATAATATTAAAGTATTATATGAATAAGTAAGATGTGAAAATTTGTATACAACTTAGGATTGTATGTTGTGGTTGGACAAATGAATAATAAAAATTACCTAGTTATTTTTTTTATATTTTAGTGATTCAATTGCATCTCCACACAACGTGGACTATTATTTTCTAAGGCAAAAGTATAATGATTACCTAGAGTGGTCTTTGGTTCGTTAAGGGTTAATTACACCTAATTTGTCCGAAATCTTTTTGTGAACACCCTGCAGAGAATCAAAACAAAGAAAACGAGAGAAAAACCAATGCCTGTTTAAAGCTTAGATTACAATAAATTCATTTATGTTCATACATACAATATATACCAAGGATGTGGATTTTTATATTCTTTTTCTTAAATATTTCATTAGAGTTATTTTAATACTGTTGCATAGTAATTACGTGTCGCGAAAAATAATGCTGCAACAATTTAATGATAAACATTCACAATTAAATAAAGTAACCTTGTGAAAAATTATTTAACAGCATTCGAATTACGAATATTTAGTCTTCATAGCTTTAACAAGATCCAGAGGTCTAACAACCAGAGCAATGGAGGGGTCATTTTACATAAACAAAATGTATCACATACGTCGCTGTGGAAAATTCCGCATTATCTGAAGCTTTCACGAGAATGTATTGCACATTTTGTAACGCAACCATTAGGACTTCCCTCGTAACTTTGTAATCTGGCCTGTTTTGTAGCTGCCATAAGGATTCATGGAATCTAAAATGGTAAAATCACAGAATTAATTTTACGTTATTTCATATAACTTACATTATTATATTAACATTATTTCAAATAATTTATCAGGCGGTACCTGATCTCGTAGCGATTGTTAGTCACAGGTACAGGCAAATAATATTCCAAGACAATTCTGTTGTTCCCTTGCAATTGCACCGCTGGATATTGCAGGGTCGATCTCAGAGGTATTCCACCTTCTGTCAAAGTTGTAAATCTTAAAAATCCTCCGTAGGAAACGACCTTGAATTATAAGTTACGCGATGGTCATTCTGTTCGGAATGTTTTTCTGCTTTTGAATGTATAAATTTCAGTCGTATGATGAAAATACACGTCGATAGAATATTACCTTGTCGCCAAGGAATGGCTCGGATAACATCCAATAGAGTGGATAGTTGTAATATAAATTGGACGGTATCGTGACGTCGCCTTCGTTGTCGGGAATTGTCGATAGTCCACTGGTCACGTTCAAACCACCATTTAAAGGCGTCAACAAATATTGAGATCTGTATTTAGAAACCTTCGAAAAGAAAAAAACACTCCTTTTACATTCGTTTTTCCATTGTTTCTTTAGAGTGACTTCTGACATTATAGCATAGCAATAATATTCAAAGAATATGTGTAACAGTTGTAATATGAATATATGTACAATATCTATATAAATCGTGTGGTTAAATTGTACAAAAATTTTGTACATTGTTCTTACACAAATTTTGCATATTGTTCTACAAAAATTTGTTATAATTTCCGGATTGTTGGAAAACGACGGAAATGGATGGACAATTATGGCTGCCGCATTTTCTTGCGTTAAAATATTTGAACTTTTACTAATAGGAGTATTCGAAATTTATAGTATAATTTGAAATGTATTAGTTAATAAGTTAATAATCGCGATTGGTAAGTAAAAATAAGGTAATCGACAGTAGAAAATTCTCTTTGTGTTTTTTTTTACATTATGGAATTGTATTTATATTTGTTCTCTGAAGTATCGTTATGCATACCTACGCTAGTTAATACCAATGCACAAAATTGTACTGCAATTGCTTGAAAGAAATAATGTCAAATAAAATATAATTGCATTTAGATCACAATTTAGTACTTACATTTAATTATCAACAAATGTATTGAAAATATTCAATATTATTATGAAAAAAATGACAATCTTATTCTACATCATATTGTTCAAGTATTACAAAATGTAAAAGTATTACAAGAATTAACACTTTATATAAAAATTCAATGTTTGATTTTAAATTTCGCAATGATAGTACTATTATAAAATAGAAATAATATTAATATAAAGTAGAACTATCGAATGTACAAAATTTAGGTAGGAATGTAATATTTATTCTTAAATTAACGGCAACTGTGTTTCAAATATGTAATATTATAGGTACACGATAACGTAATACACTTACCATTATATCATTAATGGTGTCATTCACATAAAGCGTTCGCGGTCGTGCTAATCTTCGTTGCCCCCAGCCGAAACCTGCTTGCTCACAAGAAGTTGTCCTCCCGAAACAGAAGCACTCGGTACAACCTCTTGGATTGTTCGTCGCTAGACCGAAAGTACCTTCTCTGCACTGATTACACTGTCTTCCAGACACGTGTTCCTAAATGGAGAACAAAGATCCATTCAACGATTAGGTACCATTAATATCAGAATACCTACTATAAAAATATATATATATATATATAATTTTTATTAAATTTACCACCAAATATTTATAACCCTTCGTTGAACTAATGTTTGTGCAGATACCATTCAATGCGTTTGGTATTCACATATCATAAACTTTATGGTAAATTAATTATCAAACAAAATGATTACTAATCGATTATAAGAAGCTGACAATTCATTACACAGAACATAATAATAATCTATTATGTGAATATTTGTATTTTTTAAACGTGTTACGTTATAAAAGCTGAAACCCTAGGGTTTACATCTTTATACAATATCCCATTATGTAAAACCATTTCTAATATTTCAAATGACATTTTTGACCTTAGGAACATTAAATCTAAAATATTCAACATATCAATGACTAATTTTTTGCTTTCACCATATACCGTATTCATTTAACTCGCTTACTACATCATTTTGGCATCTTGTACAAACATTTTTTTTTAATAAAATTAAGAAGTCATTTCAAGGCTATTTAAAACATTAAAAAATTTTTTTATAAACAATGCGTTTGCTCACGATGAATAACGCCCTAGTAGTCACAGTAACACCGTTTTTCCAATGCTCGGATGTCATTTAAAGAAATTCCGTCCAGCGATCGACAAAGAATGTTCCAGATATTGTCACTAAAGTGATAAATAGACTGTGGATTTTATGCATTTATAGCCAATTGAACAGTCTCAGACAAATAGTTGTAAAAAACGACATTTACTATTTTCTTCGCGATTCCGACCAATTGCAACTTTTTCAACATTTTGTTAACACATCATTTAGTACACTAATCCTCCTAACTTCACAAAGAAGCTCAAGTCACTTGGTCCAATTTTGAAAGTGCAGTTCAATTTTAAAGGGTGTACGAATACTTTGTGGACCCACTGTATTTTTTTAAAATAGCTACTACATACCTTGCACGGGCATTGGCCATCATTGTTGCAATCGCAAATTCCGTTCCCGCATTGCAGAGTCCCTGCTGAATCGCAGCCGCAAGGCCGACATCTTGGATAACCATAGTAACCCTTCGAGCACTTCTCACATCTAAGTCCATCGTAGCCTATCCTGCAAGGGCATTGTCCTTGAAGATCGCACTGGGGTTTCGTGGAGCCCAGAGTGCAATCACATGGCCTGCAACCGATTCCTGGGACCAGATCCCAGGATCCTTGCCTGCATCGATCGCAGTGTTCGCCGAACGTTAACGTTGGACATATGCAACGGCCAGTATCAGGATCGCAGATGTGACCGGGTCGCACGCATGGATCGCAAACTGCAAAAATTTTTCTCTTTTTTTTATTATTATAATAGTAATCAGTAGACTGCGGATTTTTATGCAAAATAATATTTTCTAAAGTAATTGATAGAGACAGGAGCAAATGTTGAAATTTACTTTTCTTCTTAACCTTCATACACTCCTCGGGTGAAAATTCACCCATTTTCTATTTCCAAATGCTGTAATATGCTTGATTTCTTTCTAAGTATGTTATAACTTGATGTGTTTGTCTAAAATATAGAGTCGTATGTGAAACACAAGTAGTTAACGTTTTATTTATAACAAGAATGTTGTGAAAAAGAAAGTAACGGAAAAGTTCCTTGGGTGATATTTCACTCGGATATTGTTCATTTATAAAATACATTAAATACTGTGGTGAATATAAGTTATTACATTATAGATTATATTTATATTGTAAAATTTTGTCATGCTAAAAAGAAAAAAATTACGGGCTCTAGATTTTAAAAATAAATTTGTACCTATTATATAGTCACTATTATAGTTGGTGGACAGTATAAATGAAAATCACCAAAAAAAGTATAGTAACTTTTTACCTTGACAGCCGTTAGAAGAAAATCCATAGTATCCAGGTAAACAGGTGTCGCAACGCGTACCACCAACACCTGGTTTACAGTGGCACTGTCCTGTAGTGTCGTGGCAAGAAGAATTGTACGACCCGAAAGGATCGCATTCGCAAGGAGCGCATCCTGCTCCTGTCGTTAATCCCCAGAAACCAACCTTCAGAAAAAAGCATAAAATATTCATTGAAAATTAAACTTACCGCTCGACGAAGATACAACCATCATGTATATCTGAATCCTGTGTAGTACTTTAAAATTTATGTATAAACAAAGTGCATAATTAAAAAATATAAATGTAACAATGTATGATTAAAAATATGTATTTTTTTACAAGTCGTTGCACTCACCATACAGTGGTCGCATTGTCTACCAATCACGTGTGCTTTACATTGACACTGTCCTGTTACGATGTCACAGGCAGTCGTTATCGATCCAAGATGATCACATCGGCAACCTGTAAACATTTAAGAAACAAACGATTAATATAAGTTCACGTATTCTTTTCATTATTTGTTTTACAATTTACTGAGATCAATATTGAGTTATATTTTTAATCATTGACAGGTCTATTATGATAAATAAAAACATGTTTCTTCTGCTTGAACGCGATATTGTATCGACAAATCGATGAACCTAGTAATCTACTATCAGTAATGAAACAATAAACTGTTACAACCTAGATTCTATGTTCGTACAATATTCTTTACTCATCAAAGATTTGTAGTATCGTTTTGGGTACAACGAGTATTGTCTTCTACATAAACTGATTTAAAACGGCGTAAATGGATATATTGAGTATTATTAATTTCATTGAATAAAGCTAGTTTTTAATTGCAGTAGTGGGAATATTTATTTCGCCACTCGAACATTAATACTCAAATATTAACAATATCAATAATATCAAATATATCAAATATATCAAATATATCAAATATATCAATAATATCAATAATATTAATAATGCAGTATTACAACCTACTGAATATTAATAAGTTATACCTTTCTTACTATTACTACATAGTACTAGGAAAATTAATTAACTCAGATATTTATTCTAAAAATCTGTAGCTCACTGTGTATCTTGGTCGAAATAAATTATATATGAATCATTTTATCAATCATATTATACTATGAAAATTGTGCATAGTATGAAAAGTGAGTGATGCAATAAATATTTACAGTACTGTGAATGAAGTAATCTTGATCAATGGGCTTTGATTATGAAAGGATATGTCTATTCGATTGCAACCATGAATTGCATCAAGGGTATTTCGGTCTGTGAGATCGGTGTCTGTTCAGTCTGGATCTTAGTCATGCACGACTAGACGTTTGTTGATGCGCGATCGATGGCGTTTCGCAATTAGCAATGCCGCCGCGACGAGTACAGGTATTGTATTCAAAACGATGTATAAACCTTTGTTGGCACTTTCACGGCTGCTGCCCCGGAGCAAAACGAAACGAAATTACTCAATAAGAAATTCTTATGAGCCGGCCATAAATTGCGAAGCAGAGACTATGAATTTTAAGTCAATTTTGCGTCACCCCGAACAATAAAATTATATTCATTATTTTTCACCAAGTACATATTAATATTCAATTGTGCCACCGTCGGGTCTGGTGTGACCTATATCAAATGTCGTTGCACATGCTTAGAATTTTAATTAGAATTTCATTTAGAATTATATTTTAGAATTCCAGTTAGAATTATTTATTCATTTGGAATTTTCATTTTAAACTTTTTTCGTAAAGCAAATATAAATATTACATTACTCTAGAATTACAGTAGAATAACGTGCGTTGCTATTGGAATTTGTTATGATTAAACGATTGCTCAAAATTATCGAAAAGTCCTTTACATTTTTTTTATGGATGTAATTGTGAGGTAAAATCATTCAGTTTCTAAAATATGAACATTATACACGTATTACTTTCGAATTAGTAGAATATTAATCTAAAATTGTATAGAATGGCTATTTGTTTGGCTAAAAACATGAACTATTGTGGAGATATTCTTAAGATATTAAACTAAAAAATTCCGTAAAAAACCGATTTTTTATACTCGAGGAATAGGATTCGTCCTTTAAAAATAATTTCAATACTTGCAAGAAAGACAGTAATCTGCAACAAATACGAGTACGATGATTGTTTCGCAGCAATTATGTCGTTGAGTAAAATTCATGAGTGTGTAACGCAGTCTTAAATTATCGTTCTTTTCCTAATAAACGTTAACAGAATGCAATAACTCCACGGTGCCCCGAAGTGTCGTGCAAAATGTAAGGCGACACTTTCGCAATTACAGCACACCTTGTCCCTGCTACGTTGACCGGTTAATTTATTGGTTTAACAGGTAGCAGTATCGTTGCACACGACAGCACGCAACATCGTCTTCCTTGTTGTACCGCTCTCAATTTGAATAAAGTGTGACGTAACGTGTGTCTCTAGGAAAGTTTACGCGAGTTAATAATACGCCAAACATTATTAATGGTCGTTTCATGTAAATCTGTTCCGCGAGTAATTATATTATTTACCCGAGTAAATAGAAATTAATCGGTAGATAATTGTATATCAGACTACCCTTGTAGTTATAAATTTTGTAGTTATATTATCTGTAATTAAATTATGAATTTAATTACGTCATAATATTTTAAGTTAATCATAAATAGAGATTTAGATGGATATGAAAGGTTTGTTTATATAATTAATTTGTATAGTTGTATTATAGGTATATTACTTGTATGATGTACCATTGCCAAAAATGAATTTATACTGATTTTTCAACTCCGTCTGAAAGAAAGAAAGATTTATAAGTGGTACAATAAGAATCTTGTGTACCAGTACATGATTTCAGGAATCCGCATTTAACTTTTAATGTAAAATCTTCTTTTTTACATACATAGAATAGAAGAAAAACGTATAAATACTACGTACCGTTTCATATCTAATTTTGGGTTATTTTCTCTTTCACTTTCAAATTTAAAATCTGAAATAATAATCATCAAAACTGATTTATCGCTGAAAGTAGAATATATCTGTTATTGATCAGACAGAATTTAGATGAATAGTATGATTTATTACATCAAAGTATGAAATGTCTAATAATTCTGTATCACTAATTAAATTGTCTTCATATTTATTAATTAATTTGAAGTTAGTTATTAAAAGCTATTAAGTATTTACACGAAACAGTAGATTGATAATTTTATTATTTTGACTAATTTTTGGATTCTCTGCAACAAAATAGTTTCACAATTCCTGGAATTTTACTTTTCTAAAAGAACCTTCTATTTTTATCTGTTTGTGATGAGACCTGTGGTAGTATAAATTATACTTACTATTACCAATTGCACTTATAATAAAAAGTAAAAGTGGTTACAGCACTTACATTTTCCGTGCCTTAAAGACACCATAAAAATTATTTTACTACAAAATGAATGTTTAAATTACAATAAAACATTATTTCGTAGAATCTCTGCAGATTCATTATTGTTTGTCGTAAAAATCTCATAATAACAGTCATATGTAAAGGTCACATAGAACGTTAATAATTACAATAAATTTAGTCAACGATTGTACATTTCATCCATAAAAAGTACCACAAAAAATTGTAAGAAGCGCGATTGTATTCACACTTTTCTCTAGATATGTATAATGTGTTTCCGCAGAGAAATTTATTTTCCAGCGACCATTCCACGGAATCGTAAAAACTAGATAATTAACCAATAAAAAAGACGATAAGTGCATACGCGTTCCATTTACGTTGTACACATTATATCCTTGTAAAATGGATGCACGGGTTCCTCGTCATGGAATATAAACCACAAGAAATTCTTAACCTTTAGAGGATGAGCCGATTTTCTCATGACTTTTATGTTTTCGAGTTACAACTTTTAATGTATTTGTCATAGTGTTATACTACGTAAAATAAACGACTTCTTTGGAACCTAAAAAAGTAGGCTTCCTGTCCCGTTGGATAACGAAAATAGAAAAGTTGCACAGGACCTTTATAATTATATAAAGATTTTTGAATAAATTTAAAATTCATAATTATATAAATATCAAAGAATTTATCTTTTACGAAAATAGAAAAGTCGCAGAGGACCTTTATAATCATATTTAGAATATTTACGAAAAATAGGCTTCCCGTCCTTTAAAGGTTAATCGACATTAAAGTAAAAAAATTGAATGCTCGTTACTTTGAATATGGCGGATCTAGTGACACATGATTAATTTGAGCAACCATGGCGGTTAAAAGTCGGTTCGTGCGTAGAACGTTGGCCAAAGCATAAATAACGATCTTGAGTTCCTAATCCTGTGCGGCATTCAGCCACATACACACGGTTGCAGATAAATAAATAGTTGTTCTCGTTACAAAGGGATCAGCTGAAGGCTGACTATGACGCCGCTTAATCGTGACTAATATCGTGCATCCTTTAAACCAGATAAAACGACGTAAAAATCCTTTCTTAGCTTTACGGTTCAATTACGGTTCAGTTTGTCCAGTCACTAACGAGGCGGTTCCGATAATCCAGATAACAGCTTTTGATAAATGTCGGACCGATAGATTGATTACTTGCTCGTGATCTTAATACCCGATAACCTTTCAATGATTTTTCAGATAAATGACCGCTAAGAATGTATCGTGCCGTATGAAGTCTACGTTCTATGGGATTAGTTTTGTTAGGTGTAATGGAAGTATCTAATCCATTATAGTTTCAATATGGTGGCAATACGTTTTAGATTCAGAATATGTTAGATACAGCTTACAAGGGATGTTCAAAAAGTGACAGACGTCGATTTAGCTGTAACTTTGTTCAATTGCTTATGGGATCAACCTAAGAATTTTGCTGTACTTAAACTACAGAAGATATCGAAAAAAAGTTTAGATAAAATGTATATCGTTTTTAGCAGTCTATTTTTCGGTAAAGTTTTATCTTAAATTGATCATTTCATTCTGTTAAGAGAGTAAATTTCTCAAAATTATGAATGGGTTATTATATTTGAATTATTCTGTCAGTATTCTTAAGTCATTTAAAAATTGTACTGTTACATTATTATCATTGAATTTAGATGGCTTCGAAATAACTGAAAATAATTATGTCCTAAAAATGGCACTCGAATTACCAATTATTCCATTATACCGTGGTAAACGGATGTTCAGGTTTGCAATAATCTATAATTTCACAATTCTAAACAGTACATAGTCGTATAAATAAAACGGAAAGAACAGGATTAAATAACAAAACAGAAGGGCATTAACCCTTTAACAGTGTTTAACGAGTATACTACATAGTCATGAGGAAATGACCACGTTTTGTGTAATGACGGGTATATTCGTCATGTGAAAAAAATAACTTTTGCTATAAAAATTGAAATTTTAGTAAAAACTAAAAAATATATTTCTTTCATTAGAATAAAGGAATCAAATGGTGTAAGGTTTTCATGTATGTGAATATT